TATGCATGACCAGTGCATTAAACTGCTGTGTCTTCTTAGGCATGGTGTCCAGAATTTTTTCGATGCCACTGTCGCCCGTTGCCACGTCTGATCCTGCTGGTGTTGCTACTGAACCTCCCTTGGTTTTCTTTTTTTGCAACTGCTCCTGCTGTCGCTTGAGAAGCGGGTATGGAAGAACTTGGACCTGTTTGTACTCGTCATAGATCTTTGACTGTAGCTTGACGCGTTGACTGGGAACCGATACACAATCATAAATAGTTAGCAAACCAGACCTGACAAGTAGATTGACTCCTTAGCGATTCGTTGGTTTGACCCCATACCTTGCTTGCTCCTCTAATGGTGCGGCATACAAGTTTTCCTGGTCTTCGGCAAAAAGCTCCCTCGTCCTCTTGACGGACCGCTGCAAAATCGCCTTTACAGAAGTGGAGTCGTTCTGGATGTGATTGGATTCCTCAGAGGTAGATTCAACAGCAACCTCGGGGACGGCTCCTTCCATGACAACATCATGAGTATCGGTGCCCTTGTTGGCCTTTGCCCTCGAAGCTCTCTTTGGCGGCATCGTTCGGTAGTCGAGGGTGAGATGTGTCCGTGGTGAACTGAGGAACGACTGTGAGGGGGATAGATTCAGATCTTTTGTGCCCAAATTGATTGGGTGCTGCCTACGTCACTCGGGGCGGCTAACGAACAAGAAACGCAAAGCTGAATGCGACACCGACAGATCACACAACCGCCATGGCACAGCAGCAGAAGATTGAACTCCAGGACCTGGACTTGTCACAGCTCGTGGAAGTCAAGAAGCAGTTAGAAGAAGTAAGCGCACCACATCAGTTGGGCTGTAGAAGACCCTTCGCCATCTGAACTAAAGAGCGTGGCATACAAGGTCCCTTATTAGGACGACAATGCTGCGTTCTTCGGCCTATCATCGTTGTAGCGGGAGCTGGTGCAGCGTGCTAGAATGGCGCTGGGACGAACGAGCAGAAGGATCTAACACTTTGGCTCCACCCTCGGCTGCCGATTTTTTATTCGTATGCTTCATTTTCATTCAGGAACTCTCGCACTTGACGTCCTCGTTCAGTCAGTTGAAGCAAGCCCAAAATCGCTTCGCGGACTGCATCGAGAGCTGCAAAGCCGTCAATGCTGCCAATAACGACAAGACAATCCTCGTTCCTCTCACAAGCTCGCTTTACGTCCCTGGAAAACTGGCGAATGTCGAGAAGGTCGTTGTGGACATTGGAACTGGATATTATGTGGAGAAGGTAACGTGGACCTCCCACTGCCATGCAATCGAAGTTGAGTATTACTGGACAACTTTTTGCTGACATTCCCAATTGTATCCATCCATTTATTTATTTATTTCCTTATAGACCACCGAGGATGCTATCAAATTTTACAATGGCAAGGTTGATTTTGTAAAAGAGAACTTGGAGAAGATCCAGGCAACCGTGGCAACAAAGCAAAACAACTTGAGATGTAAGTTACTCAGCTAGAGTCATTTGGATACGTCCAGTTGATGGTATTTTTCCATTCGCAGATTACTGACCATATCTCTCTTCTGGCTATCATCTTAGCATTGGTGGATGTTATGCAGTACAAGGTACAGATGCAGCAGCAGGAGCAAAAGGCAGCAACAAAGGCATAAGGATCAAAATAAAGAATCGTCGGAAACGAAATCATATGCGTTGCATATATTTCAATGGGAAGAAAGGATATATTGACGACTACTTTGGACTGAAAGTGGTTCTGAGGGATGTGCTTTCAGTGTAGCAAACATCGAAAATATTCACAGGTGATAGGAACGATAAGAAAAACATTTGTTCGGGACGATCGGATCAAACCAGAGCTGGAGTATATTGGCATTAACAGACAGACGAGCAAAGCACTTTGATTTTTATGCCAACTGCTGTGTTTATTTGCGTAGCACAGGCTAATATTCCACGAGCGAAAGAGAAGAAGCAGACGGTGCATGGTTGCACGTTGAACGGCGTACAAGTGTACAAACCAGTGAGCCGTCGCTGCTTGCTCCACCCGACGATACGCCAATACATGCCTGGAGCCCTTTATCTTTATCCTTGTCTCCGTTCCTCATCTCCGTTCCTTCATCTCATCGACATTTCTTTCCTCATTCCTTCCTAACCCCCACCTAAGAAACCAAAAAAAAAAAAACATCTCCTTAAATGACTATTTCTATCAAGCAAGAGCCTACGAACGTTAAGGTCAAAGTTTCTGGGTCTCAAGTGCCTGCGGATGTTGCCTACAAGCCAGTGAAGCGGACGGTTGCCCATCCGCACCCGTACCTCCGTGGCAACTTTTATCCGGTCTTTGAGGAAACCATCGGAGACGATGGTATCGAATGTGAAGTCGTGGGAGTGATCCCTGAGTCTCTGCGTGGCTCACAGTACATCCGAACTGGACCCAACTCAGTCCGCATCCCTGAGGACACAGATGTCCATCATTTCTTTGATGGCGATGGTAGGCTTTCTTGCTCGGCAATTGATTGCCGATTCAGGCGAAATGAAAAATGAGGGGAATGACAGTCTAATATGAATCTGACTTGTAATACGTAGGAATGCTTCACGGCGTGTATTTTGATCCAGGTACTGAGATTGAGGAAGCAAACAAGATGCCTATCCAAGCCAGGTACATGAACCGCTACGTCCGCACCGATGTCTTCCGCAAGACCAACAAACACGGGCACATCATGTTCTCACTTGGCCTGGTCATGAACAGTGGCCAGGCGACGTTCAAAATCCTCAAAGAAATGATTTGGATGTCCATTAAGGGCGCCATATACGGATTGACCAACATCGCGAACGGAAACACTGCACTTACGTTCATTAACAACCGGCTGCTGGCATTGAACGAGGCCGGCACGCCTTTCGAGACCAAAGTGCCGAGCTTGGATACCGTCGGCGACTATTATTTCGAGGATGATGGACATAAGAGACGCAAGGTGTGGGTTCCCAACACCGAGGCCTGCACCGCTCACCCTAAGGTAACAAGAGAGGACACTGCCCTGAACCCTGAACCCAAAATGCGCTTAAAGAAAATTAATCGCTCAGCATTTATTTGTTCGTCTCCTAGATCGATCCAAAGACTGGCGAGACCATATTCTTCTCCTGGCACATCCCCAAACCATTTGTGAAATATTCTGTAATCTCTGCAGACGGCAAGCGGAGCGTCTGGGAGGAAACCATTCCCGGTTTCACCAAACCATGCATGATGCACGACTTTGCCATTACATCCACATATTCCATGTAAGTTGGGCACTCGCAATCGAATACAGACGGAGAGTTGACAGGATCGATATGTACAAAAGCAGATTGCTAATCGTATTGCATTTCAGTATGCTCAAGCTGCCAGTCTTCTCTGACCCAGTCAAGAACATCAAGCAAAAAAAGGCTATTGTTTCTTTCGACGAGAGTGTCCCGGCCTACTTTGGTATTATTCCAAGACACTTTAACTGCGAAACAGACAGGGTGCTTTGGTTTGAGGCACGAGGCTGCATGATCTTTCACACAGCCAACGCTTGGGATGAAAAGGATGCAGATGGGAACGTTGTTGCAGTCTGTATGACTGCCTGCCGCGCTGAACGACTCCCCACTGTACTCGCTCCTTCACAGCCTACAGGAGCAGACGATGAACACAAAAAGGCGTATGTTACGCCGGGTAATGGAGATTATGAGCACCAGAATCCCGACGCCACCTACTTGACCTTGTTCCGATTCGATTTTAAGACCATGAATACTCAAATCACAACACTAGCGACAATGGCGTCCGAGTTTCCTATCATCAACGCTGACTGGTCTACTCGTCCTGATCTGAGATACGTTTATTCAAGCACGGTTGGAGCAGAGAAGCCGGGCGAGGCGATGAAATTCGATGGAATCGTAAAAACCGACCTAAAGGCGTTAATCTCGAGGCAGAAGGAGCTATTGGATCAAGGTCTCCTCAAGAATATGGGTGGGGATGGCCAGTGGGAGCTCGGTGCAGAGGAACTGCGAAAAGTCGAACTAAAGTCTACCAAGGTGTACAAATTCGGAGGCGCATATTACGGAAATGAGGTTTCATTTGTCCCTAATCTCCCTAGAGCTCATGGTCAAGAGCTGGACGAGGATGACGGACACGTACTGGTCTATGTGTATGATGAGAGTCAGCTCAAGGACGATCTGATGGTGGATAGCGATAATCAAGTGACGGAGCTGTGGATATTTGATGCCAAGAAGCTGGAGCAAGGACCAGTCACCACGATCAAGATTCCAAGGCGTATTCCATATGGATTCCATGGTCTGCACATTACGCGGAAGCAGATCGCTACCAGCAAGGAGTACTTGGCGCAGCGCGGCATTGGCGCGTAAAATCTGCGCACAGATCAAGTTGCGGATGTTCCAATTGGCGTTGCCACCAATTTGTGTCAAAAGCAGTCGTACAAATAAACAAGAATAATATTTAAAAAAAAAGTCGCTTAGCCCTGACAAGAACTCTCCTCTGCCAGCCCACCACTGATATTGAACTCAACCATGTCTGACTCCGAGAGCGAACAAGAACAGCAACTGACCCTCGAGGACTTGGAAGGCTCCGATGCTGAGATGATTTCGGATGGCGAGGATGGTTCGATCGATATTCTGACTGAGCAGCGTGTCACCATCAACAACGAGGTAACCTCAACAGAACCGACATTTTTGCTATCAAAAGAGGGCGCTTGAACAATATTAATGGACACCCCAGTCATCGACCGCAGATATCAATGGCAGTTGCTACCAACAAGCCATCAATATCCTTTTCGATAGCTTTGTATACATCTCATTCGATCGTAGCCCTGACCACATTGGACTAAACCCTCTCTTGCTTTCCTTTATCTTTGCCTCCGTCACTCTTTCTAGCCTGCGTTGAAACGTCTCCGTGAGCAGATCGCACTTCCTACCAATATCCCCTGGTCTGAAACTCAGTCCGTCATCTCAAGTCAACCCGTCAATGTAGTAGATCCGGACGACGATCTGAACCGTGAGGTCGCATTCTATAATCAGGCGTTGGAGGCAGCAGTGCTCGGGCGAGAGAGGACAAGGAAGGAGGGGGGCGTCTTTGAGCGCCCTGGTGACTATTTTGCAGAGATGATCAAGTCGGATGAACATATGGCCAAGATCCGTCAGAGATTGTTGGATGAGAGTGCGTCGATCCAGGCCAGTGAGCGGGCCAAGGCACAGAGGGAACTCAAGAAGTTTGGAAAGAAGGTTCAGACAGAGAAAAGACTTGAGAGAGAGAAATCAAAAGCAGACGCACTGGAGAAGATCAATGTGCTCAAGAAGAGTACGTGCCCTCTTTCTATTCAGGAATTCGTGAACAGAATACTCAATGCGAATTTTATAAAGCTACTAACATTAGGTCCTCTGTCTTTGTTTTCAATTATATTCTTATAGAGCGTCAGGGTAACGATAACTCTACGAACGCGGATGATGACTTTGATGTGGCATTGGCGAGCGACGACGAGGAGATGAAGGCATACAGGAACTCAGGATCCAATGGCCTCAACAAGGGCAAGAAACGCTCAGCAGCTTCAACACCAGAATCGAGAGGCAAGCGACTTAAGAAGGATCAAAAGTTTGGATTCGGAGGTAAAAAGAGGCACGGAAAAAGCAACACTTCAGAGAGCTCAGCGGACGTCTCTGGATTCAATGTCAAGCGCAATAAGTCGACATCTTTCAAGGCAGGACACAAGGCGTCTAAGGATAGCGGCGCTAAGAAGCGCCTAGGAAAGTCCCGTCGTCAGAATGGAGGAGGCAGAAAGTAGGGATATCTAGCATATAATCACAACGAGCATCAATCAACAACAGCATTTATAGATTTTCTTTGCCGTGTATTGAATTAATTTGCTGTGCGATTGGAGCCGCCTTGAGGAGTCAGGCCTGCGTTTTCGTCCTGCTTGGCAAAGTACATGATGGTGATTTCGCACGCTCTTTTGCAGATATCAGCATTGTCATGCGACCGCAAGCTGTAGATCTGCTCCACGCCGCCACATTCCGCGATATTCATTTTGAACTGGTTCACGCCATCTGTCTCTTCCTTATGCAACTCTCCACACAGTAAGATGTTCTTCAATGCATCCAGGACGACCTTAGAGATCTTGTTATCCTCACAGCTCAATATGTCAATGAAAGACTTGATACATCCCAGAGTAACTAGGTAGCTGATCTGGCCGTGATTACGAGCAAATGTTACGCTTGCGATGGCCCAACATGCCTCCTTTCTGGTTCTGAAGTCTGAATTATTGAGTATATCGATCAATGGTGGGATGATATCGGCATCAAGCACGCTTTGGACTTGAGACGCAGTCCCTGCAGCGATGTTCGAGATAGCCATGCACGCATCTCTGCGAATATCGATATTAGGGCTTGACAAAAGAGAGTGTAGTGCCTGCAAGGTCCCACAATCAATAATGACCTGGGTCTGGAACTGGTCGCCCCCGGCAATGTTTCCAATCGTGCGGAGGACAGGAACCTGAATAGATGATGATATTTGGCGCAGCACTAACTCTACAAGGCGAGAGCAAATGCCCAGTTCGATAACAGCCTGGATCTTATGATTGCCGCCCATGGACAGATAAGATAGTGCCCAGGATGCGTCACTTAGGATGTCTTCGTCATCAGAGCGAATCAATTCTCCGATGACGCTCAGCGCAGGTTCTACCTATGAATAATGGTAAAGACGGTATTAACGTGCAGTTCTATTTAGCGGTTTAGACACAGACCAGCCAGGTGTGAGTTGTGAAGTATTCATACCTGACTCCATTTTGGCAAGGGTTTGCTTCCACGGCAAAGATTGCAAAGGGTCCATACTGCATTCCTGAAGATGGGTAGCCCGTTTTTCTGCCGAATAAGATTAAGCAGGGGTGCCATTGCATTTTCATCAAGGACAACGTCGCGACAATAAGGGCTGTCTCCTGCGATGTTTCCAAGAACGTATATAGCCTATACATGAATGATGTACCATATATTAGCCTTATACTAGTGATATTTGCACCGCACTCTTCACCGGACCGCAAAAGCGCGTACCTGTTTGTTTATATAAGCGCTGCTACTACTCAGCATTTCGATAAGCAAAGGCACGGCTCCAGCATCGATTATATGCTGGGTCTGAGCTGTGGTTCCCACGGAGATGTTGGCCAAAGCCCAGGAAGCTTCGCTCTATGTTAGGTCACCAAATTTTGGGTGCCCATGGTGAGTGAACATACCTTTAAGGCTATGGCGTAGATAAATGTTTTGTTACATACAAGTACCTGAATATCGAGGCGAGGGGATTGAAGGAATTCAACGAGCCTGGGGACGACTCCGCAGCGGATAACTTCTTCAATAGGGTAGGGCTGTCTCGTGGAAAGCATTTTGCGAAAGCTCATGGCTGCGTCAAGTTGATTCTCCGGGTTGCTGGACATGGCTTTGTGGAACAATACTGGAAGTCGCTTATGGTACTATTCACAAGTTTCATTGCGTTTAGAGGTGATGGCCATTGGTTCCTGCGTGGGCTTGTTGTCCCTGCAATCAGTATCTCTCTCCTAGATTTCTATTCCTATACAAATAATTGTCACCGCTCAATGCTATCCTACTATTCCTTGTAATCCTCCGATCCGGTCGACACCACCACATCAAACACAGTACTATAACAATACAGATGGTGTCGGTTCTATCATGTACCTGGGAGCTAGCACCCGGAACTCCGTCGTCGTCGGACTCTTCAAATTCGGCTGCAATGGCAAGGTTACGATGTTTGGAGAGAGCGTTTTCGCTTTCCTGTTTACGGAGCCCAACTGTAGGCGTATTGTGCAAGTTTTTTGAGGTGAATGCGCCTTCTACCTGGTTTTGAGTGCGATACTGTGAGGTTCCTGTCATGGTAGGAAAAATGTGCGAAGGATCAAGTTAACGTGCGAGAATAGGCGTCGAATGATGGATAAAACTGCTACTGCGGAGCTGCTGTCGCGAATTCGTGCTTTGAAGATAGATTTCAGGGGAGGTGGGGGGATGTGAGATAGAAAAAAATGGAAACAGAGAGAAAATAAAGCAATCGCCATAAACGAGCCAGCACGCGATAACCGCATATCCACATATTCAAAGCCCCCCTACCTCTGAATAATGATCGTATGTAGATGTAGGAAGATAAACGGCAGCATCAATAGAGGGGCACAGGCCAACTGCGAAAAAGAGTGGGACAGCCATGCTTTCCTCAGATCCAGTTGACGACAAAACCAGATACGAACGTGAGATGAAACATGCTTCATCCGACCACCGATTAAACGGACGCCTCCAATGCGCTCAAAGTTGCCCCGCATTCCTACATCACAAAGGTGAAAGCTCCCCCAGCAGGTAACAACTCCCACGCCTTTCATCAAAAGACCTTGCAGTAACTGTCGCACTCACAAGCAACTATTCTACTCAACGTCGCTTTTTTTCTTTTTTTTTTTGTTGTTGCTATTTTCCGTCTGCTCCTCGTACCTTGCACTCAGCGCCTCGATTTGCACAAGCATGTCGTCGATAGAGTGGTACGCACAATAAAAACGGATGTGTGCCCAATCTACTGAAACTCTGAAACTTTGATTACTTTTTCGTCAACGTGCCTACACACGTCGCATGTCCAATGAAGGGTTCGGATTGGGAGACAAACTCCATTGCGCGGACTGATACTCACGCCATTCTTTTTGTACTTTCTTCCGGTTTGTGGGCCCCAGGGCGCTAATTCATGGATTTTCTTATTAACACGAAAAAAAGGGCTCATCCCTATTTGTGATGAAATCCAGCACGCCTTTTCTGACCAACCATGCTTACTCGAGAGCCGCAAAAAGCGTAGACAAGACGGCTGCGCATGTATATCTTGAAAGTAAGCGGCGATAGTGGGCATCAAGCCGATCAAGCAGTAGCCCTGAATGTGGTATTATCTCCTTTTTGTATTGAAAACGCTCATTATACTTGAATAGAGTACTGCATCGCTGATGCGACTATACTTGCCACCCAGCGTCTCAGCCTAGGAACAATTTATACTAGGGTGCACACGCTGTAGATCATTGCTATCATAAATATTCGGAAATCTCCAGTTAAGATATTTATATTCATACACTTTTATCGGTCGCGTCGAGATCCCAAGCAAGTCACCACCGAACAGGCAAACTGTGATAGCGGCAAGGACGGTGAGCGATCGAGAGATCATGAGACATCGCGCGCATAATTAGTTCTCTTCAGTCAGGGGCGAGCTAGAAGTAGAAAGCACTGTGGGCACTTATCAAGGCTTGGGGGAATACAGATCCAAGCGACTAGGTAAAGGCCTGAAAATCGCGAAGATTATGGGGAAAAGATTTTATGGAGTATCATCCAGGTACCACAGCGTGGAATTAGAACTTGAAGGTCTTTGGCATATCAATATAACTAGAGGGCCTGTCATGTCGTTTTCACCTCGCCCACGCATTTTATTTTTTATTGTTGTTTCTTGATCTCTCTTTTAATAAACGTTTTCAGTCCTTGGGCAACGTCTTCACACATTGGTATCAATTCTCTGAATCGCCTGAGACTTGATTTATTGTGCGGACCAAATTCTAAGGCCGTCAAAATGAAGGGCTATCCCAGGTGAAGTAGACAGGTTGTATAATACAAGCATTTGTTCAATTACTCTTCATCATCAAAACTCAATAAAGAAGTTGCCTTTGCACTCTTTTGCTTCTTCGCTTTCGGTCCGCCACCACCACCACCACCACCACCACTACTACTACTATTATTATTACTACTGGTGTCGCCCTTTTTGACCACCGTTGCCAACTTCGCTGACGATGACGCTCCAGATTTCCGTTTCAGTGCGTTCACTTTAGCTTCTGCCTCTGCTAGCAAAGTCTCTCCAAAGCTCTTCTTGCTGCTAGCCGACGTTATGGATTCCTTTTTACTCTTGGTCCTAGACCCCTTGGGTTTCCTGAAAAGGATCTTCCCATTGGTGTCAACCGGATCCTGATCTTCCTCTTCTTCTTCTTCCTGTTCTTCTTCGTTGTCGTCACTAGGTCCGTTATTCAATTTCTCTGTCTCCTCGGCTAGTCGCTTTTGAATTTCTAGATCTGACAACCCTAATTAGTCAAGAATGAAAAAAAAAAATAGTTAGTGGCCTCTCCTTCTATGAAAACCATGATGTGCGTGCTCGCAGTCCGTATGAAAAGGAGGATAACACCGCAAACGTACCGGGTGGGAGGTTTTTCAAGACATTCCTGACCTGCCGTTCATCCAGATGCTTCCCATCTTTCAGAACCACGACTGTAGGCCGTTCTTCTTCCCGTTCGTTCAGCAGATCGTGTGCGTTTTCGTCTTCGTCGTCACTAGGGTCGTCCGTCTGGAATTTCGCTTCAATTCCGATAGGTTTCTTGTAGGGGTTACGAGGGTCTTTGTAGGCGGCGTCAGCGGACTGACCGGTCAGCATACGCATAAAATCGGGACCTTGCTGGACATAGGTCAGGTTCTTTCGCATCTGATGAGGCGAGATCTTTTTGTTGGACATGGTGTGTGGATCGTCTTTGGGTTGACTGAGGGGAAGGTGGTCATGCGACGAAGTTCAGTCGTGTAACCGTGATGAATAGGAGACAGTCCTTCTGTTTTTAGCGAAGGCATTTTTTTTTTTTACAATGGCAGCAGCTGGAGCCATTCCTCTTCAGTTCCACCAACATGTTCGACACTCCAATCTACGACGCAAAGGCCATTCGTGAGATGCAAGAGATCCTCCCGGGTCTGTTCCTCAGCGGGTACATACTGAAGTCGCCAACCTTTTATTCCGCCTGTTCAATACTTAAACCATGGATCACTTAATATCATATCTTTTGTTAATTTGTCCTCTCACAGATCAAGACCTTCAGAGTCGCGGGAGTGTCTTAATGAAAAAGGGATCACCCATATTCTTCAGATCACAGATATCAATACCCCTCGGTTCCCAGGCGAGTTCATCTACAAGATCATTGCGGTACCGGATATGGACGAAACCAACCTCATCAAGCATTTCCCAGATACTCATAAATTCATCGATGGATCGCTCGGAAAGGGAGGCAAGGTCCTAGTGCATTGGTAAGGCATATTTGAACATGATCAAGATGTTCGTCTGTCTTAATCCTGAGTCTCATTTGCCTCTGGCTATTGATATCTGGTCCTTCGTACACATGCTGAAATAGTATGGCAGGAGCATCTAGAAGTGTAACGATTGTGTGTGCGTACCTGATGAGGACTAAGAACGTATCTGCCGCAGAAGCACTAGCTGTTGTTCAGGCTCTAAGGCCCATTGCAGGGTACGTATCTCCCCTCCCGTCGTGTTTGTCGCCTTGTATAATTGGTTTCGTACGCAAAATAAACCGTTACTGTGGCTATTGAAGAGAATCTGACCACCGTAGTTACCTTTTATTTTAGACCGAATGATGGATTCATGACCCAGTTGAATCTCTATAGCGACATTGAATTTGACGTCAACACAAACAGGACAGAGTACCGTCGCTTCTTAATCGCCTCTATGGCCGCACAGCGAGAGAGTAAGGATCATGAAATCGAGCAGGAGAATTTTGTCCGCCACTTGCACACCAGAAGGGGGGCGATTTATGTTAACGTGTACTCTGGCTCGTCATAATTTGCTCACCAAATAGTGTTCGGATACATTGATGATATGACATTGGCTGCAGATCCCCTGGCTGCAAGGTCACAACCTTCCGCAGCAACATCATCATCATCATCATCAGCAGCAGTAGTAGCAGCAGCATCGACTCTACCGCAACATCCTCTCAAATGCAAAAAATGTCGTCGCGCACTCGCCGCCCGCGATAATGTCATTTCGCACACCCCAGGTCAGGGTCAGAACGCATTCGAGTATCGGAAAAGGGATGCGACCCTCCATTTGTCCCAGGCGATCCAGTCTGATATTTCGACCATCCAACCACAGTCCTCTATCATCTGCCAGTCCCATTTCATTGAGCCCGTCGAGTGGATCCAGGGACTTCACGGACTCAATGGCAAGATCGCCTGTCCCAAATGTGACTCCAAGCTAGGAACCTTCAACTGGTCGGGCGAGCAATGCTCCTGCGGAACATGGGTCACCCCTGCATTCATGTTGCACAAAGGAAAAGTCGATGGTTGAGAGCAACTCATGCATGGAACCATCATTTATTCATTCTTCAATAAAGAGCTTCAAAAAAAAAAAGCCCTCCTAAATATTTCACAACGCGGACATTTTATAGTAAGGTTGGAACCATACAAAGAAGTTTTAATTAAGAATTTTCTGCTAATGGCGTCGAAGAGGATTCAGAAGCGTCTTTGGGGCCAGCATCGACTGAGGTATCGGGGGTTTGTGAAGCGTTGCTCTCTGATTTCGGCTCAGGCTCAGGTGTACTTGTAGGAGGATCGATGGAAACGCTTGCGCTTACTGATGCTATCGGTGATGGTAACGGTGCTGACGAGGACGACTCCACATCAGGATCCTGCGTCGCCGTTTTATGTGCCTCCTGCGCCTGTTCCGCCCGTGCAATTTCCAAAGCTCGCGCTTGAAGAGCTTGCAAATGAGCCTGTGCGTTTGCTGATCCTTGTCCCTCTGTCATGGCTGGTATTGATGTCGGCGGCGTTGGCGTCGATGTTGCTGTCGATGTCGCTGCCGGTGTGGTTGCAGTTGAGGCCACGGGCTGCGTTGTGGTCTGCGATTGCACCAAGGCCCGGGCTTGCGCTTGCGCTGCTGCTTGAGCCTGAGCCGCTGCTACCAGCTGCGCTATTGGAGAGACGCCTGTCGCGGTAGGAGCGGTCACAGGGGTGCTTGCCGTGAGCAAAGGTGACCCCGCTGCCGCAGATCCTACTGCAGATGTAGGCGTGGATGTGACTAACAAGGTTGGTGAAGCAACTGCCGGTGTCGTTGGAGGTGAGGCGGCGGGAATTGTAGAGCTAGATGCGGCAGCAGAGTTCCGAGCTGCCGCAATGGCAGTAGCGACTGCCTGTAGCGTGGCGAGCGACTGCGCTGTAATTGCCGATGTTGTAGCGGGCGAAGAAGCAGCACCGGCTGGGGCAGGTGACGAGGTCGCTGTCGAGGAGGCTGTGGATGCTTGACCTGCTGCTGCCGCTGCTTGGTTGGCCTTTGCTGCCGCGACCAGAGCGGACAGAATGGTCTGCGCGCCTTCCTTGTTGGCTGCCGACAGTGACTGGGTGAGGGTTGCCAGGTTGAGCGCCAACATGCCTGGGTTTTGTTGGAGCAACGTCGCCAACTTGAGGCTAGCCTCGCTGATCTGGGAATAGCCCGGTTGCTGAGCAGTTGTGGAAGATTGTTGTGCTGTTCCAGGCTGCGTTGCTGAAGTTAGGGCGGTCGTGGATTGCATCGGAGTCGATTGCGCCGAATGCGTCAACGATGGCGTGGTTTCCATACCGGTATTGATGCGCTTCTTGGGCCTGTCGCTTTGATCCATGGGCGATTCGGAGCGCGTATCACTGGGTTTTGAGGACATGGCCCGGCGACTCCGCTTGTAGACTCCATTCGCAAACTGAGCTTCACAGCTCTGGTCAATGGTCCAGAATGCGCCTTTCCCCGGCTCGCTGTCAGAGCGCGGCACTTTGACGAATGCCTTGTTCAACGACAAGTTGTGGCGAATTGAATTCTATAACATGAAGCATCGTAAAGGAGGCGTTAAAAACATGAACAAAAGCTGAGTCCCGATCCTATCGCAGATTCTGACTGAAGTGAATCAAGCATCGCACGAGAAACTCTTACCTGCCACCCATTCTGGGCCATTTGGTAATAGGGGTAGTTTTGGGTGATATGCTGATAGATCCCATTCAATGTCAACTTCCGCTCGGGGGTCGAATTGATAGCCTGGGCAATCAAAGACGCATATGAGAATGGCGGTTTTGTGTCCTTTGATGAATATTCGGAAGTGTCGAATTGGTCCGAGGCCTCTCTCTTGACGCCCTGGCTTGATACTGACGATGAACCTCCTTGAGCGGTGCCACCATTTCGTTGTGAAGATCCTTGAGAATGTGTAGCTTCCTGAGAATTATCGCCTGTGTCAATCTTGGGAAGCAAGAAAGAAAAGGACACCTCGCCAATCTGGATTTTTGTCCTGTTCTCCAACGGCACTGTTACGCCCTTTTCAACAAACTGATCGTTCACGAAGGCTCCGTTTTTCCCAAAAACCATCATCTCGAATCGCTGAGTAGTAAAGTTGTAAAATAGGCGCGCATGTTGGCGTGAAATGGCTTTTGTGGGCCCCAGATGAATGTCGACGTGGTCCGAAGAGCTCGCCTTGCGCCCGAAGGTCACCTGAAGGGTTCTATTGACCGCGGTATATTACAGAATGTTAGTAATGCTTTTCTCACTGCCAATCGAACCCATGATGCCATGCGTATTCGCCGCTTGGGTAGAAAAAGACAGAGCGCGTACCTGATGTAGTAACAAAAGGAGTCGCCCTCCAGTTTGGCGTATGCCTGAACGGGCTCTGAAGAGACCTCGCCATTGCTAACGGCTCCTGCGTTGCTGTTTGTCACTTGTGGATACGAGATGCTGCCTACCGTCTCGTCCATGGCGAATCTTGAGGTGATAAAGAATTGTGGGGTCGCGTCCAAGTGCTGTTGCTTTGTGTGTACAATGGGTCCTGTTCCTTGAGAGCCGAGGTCACGAGTGACAGACGAAACTGTTAGTCAGCAATTATTGTATGGCGCTGGTTTACATCGAGGTCTCTCCATGGTCCCCCTCAATCCCAGGGACCTTCTTTATGACAGGGAAATAACCAACTAGAATTTATTGCATTGTTGCAGGCTTTTGAGATGCCGTGCACACGATATCCAAGCTGATAATGGGGAAGAAGAGGTCGCTGCTTATCGCCATAGCGTGACTTTGCATAAGCCTGCTAATTCATCAGCGAAAACAGAGCCCTTTTTTACACCAAAAGAGCGGCACTGACCCTTGCGAATGAGAAGCTGAATCCCTGATTCTCACCTTGGTCTACGTCCGGCGTCCCAACGATGGTCGCTATCGGTGTGTGAGTTGAGTAAGGAAGGAGTTTCTGAGATGGCCGACCAAGTAGGAGAAAACGTAAACAAAAGGCAACAATAGACAGTCCCGTGATTCCTTGATATAAAAATTGGTGGCAATTCCTCCTCAAGACGCGTCTATCTTCGCCTAAAAGAAAAGTATAGACTCAGCTTGCTCTCCTTGAAGATACTCGATGCGCTCTGAAACCCAACCCGATGCTGGTGTTTTGGAAAGCTCCAGGGAATCAATGCTGATATCCAAAGCCTGTGTCTTGAGATGAACTTCAATGCTCGTGCATATGCTGGTATATTTGCAATGTATTCAGATCGGAATAAAGTCCATCGTGCAGCAGCGAAGGAGCAAGGGGAAATAAAAAAAACATGCGAATTTTTCACATTCGACAAGTTATTGCTCCGGTGGAAAGGGGTCCAATAGGAAATGTAAGGAGCACTGTGGGTATTGCATCCATGCTCATATCCACATTTGTGTTCATGTGCGTGTCCATGTGTATGTCCATGTGTGTGTCTAGGTGCATGTGTCTGTGCTTTGCCCTGCTTGAGCCTGCCGCCTAGGACAATTTCTGATCTTACGGGGGTCCTTCTACCGGTTGTTCACGTCGAGGCGGGACGAAACATGAAAACAGCACTGTTGTTCACTGTGGATGACTCTACATTTGCATCGATTGCTACTGATGCTGTGGTAACTGTTGATCAAGGCGATAGTTGAATAATAGAACCATGTTAAGACTGGACATCGATGGAGGACGCCGATAATAATATCAGCAGCAGCATGACCATGAGCATAAGCACCACGATTCAAGGATGAGAAGACTGGGTAGGCTCCTTCCGTTCTTTTTTGGCAGGTCCTCTCTATGCCTAGTCGCTTTACCAGACATGAAAGGATCTCCTTGATTTGAATGCCTCCTTTTCCAAACAGGTCTGCTGGGTCGGCGACCCAAGACCGGATAGTTTGCTACCAAATGCTGCATGTGTTTGTAGCCTCCAAGAAGATGCCCGCCAACCCCTTGCTCCGCCCTTCTGCTTCCAGCCCAGCATCGACTGACGCCGAAGGGAGGTGAAGCGAGGGAGCCTGCAGGATTTGAGGAGCTGATTACGATGCCATCCCATCCGACTGTCAGATGTGGGCGCCAGGCTGTTTCTCTCGAAAGCTATCGCACTACAGCATTGTGAGTGGTTGTTGTTATTGCTGTTGATGTTGCTGTTGCTGTTGCTGTTGCTGTTGCTGTTGCTGTTGCTGTTGCTGTTGCTGTTGCTGTTGCTGTTGCTGTTGCTGTTGCTGTTGCTGTTGCTGTTGCTGTTGCTGTTGCTGTTGCTGTTGCTGTTGCTGTTGCTGTTGCTGTTGCTGTTGCTGTTGCTGTTGTTAATAATTATTTTGCATTCCTTCCTGTTTGACGCTTGGACACATTTTCCGTTGAGGTTTGAGCGTGGCAGAAAAAACATTCAATAGGCCAATGAAGAAGAGAAGGAGAGGAGGAAGCGGGCGGCAGGGTGGGAATGAGTGGAGTAGCTGCACAAAGACCCTTTTCTGCGTCTGCTGCTTCTGCTTCTGCTTCTGCTGCCTCTTGTTCATCCTCAATGACAAATCGAGTCATGGTCTTCGAGGATACTGATAGAGTAAGCACGGCGGAGGAAGAGACAAAGATACATTTGACCTGAATATCCTAGAATAGCTTTTTGATACTCCATTAGCTACTGATTGACCGGCGATTGATGGTGTGCCTTTTTTTTCTTGTTGTTGTTGTTGTTTTGTTGTTGTTGTAACATACTCCCTCCTCTTCCTCCTCCTCTTCCTACCCCTCTTTTTCTTCTTCTTCTTCCTCCTCATTGTCCGCCACCATTCCATTGTCTTTTCTGCCATCGTCATCACCTTCCCCCTCTTCTCATTCTCTTTCTTTCTCTCTCTCTCTCCTCATTCCTCCCCTCTTTCTCTTTCCCCACCTCCCTCGCTCGCCTCCCGTCGCACTCCCTTCCCCCTTCCCCCCCCCCCCCCTCCCCCTCTGACCTTTAATTCACCAGCCCTGCTGCTGCTGCTGCTGCTATTATCGTCCCTGTTATTGTTGTTGCCGTTTGTTCTTTGTGTCCTCAAAATTGCGTTCAACGGCACGTTTTTTTATTTCCACTCCGTTGTGTCCAACAAGCTCTTCCCTCCCCTAATCACACTCGCCCTGAACCCCCAGCCGGCCATTACACCTCCAGTGAGTGTCTCCTCAGTTCGCGCTTCCTCTCTTTCTTTTCCTCAGTTGAACACTCACTTGAACACTCCGTCCCTTGTCGCCTCTCTTTTTCGCTAACAGATACCTCCTCCCCTCTTTCTTCTTCGCATTCATTACTAGTCTTGCTCTCCCCTCACCGCTCTTTCCTCACCAGCCCCTTCGCTCCTTCGCCCCTCACACAACAACTCCTCTGAACCACGACCGTTTGAGCAGAAAACACCCGAGTTACACCATCCAAGACCACAACACCCTCATCATACAGCACCATGTTTGCCTCTTCCACAGCAACACATTCGCCCATACACCGTGCCTTGCCCCAGGCCTATGCCGAGATCCTGAACGACCTGAATCAAAAGGTGATCTCTGCCCAGCCTCAGGACGTCCTTCAGTTCTGTGCCAACTACTTTAGCCAGAAGCTGGAGGAGCAGCGCATCCGATTCCTTGCCGCAGGTAAAAAATCCCAGGACATTTTTTGTTTTATTTTTATTTTTATGTGTTGTGTGTGATCTTGGGGCGCATAATTGGGATCCCATTGATATGTCGTCTTTTTTTTTTTTTTTTTTGTTCTTCGGGTTATCTATTTAACACGGACTGTATGGCTCGCAGCGCCTTGTCTTTAACGATGCATATTGGTCTGCATGGGTTTGCATGCTTACTTGCGTGCTTGAGAGTCCAACGTGTAGTTGTCGGTTGGTGCTGCATGAACATTCGATGGCCGAAAGCACGGGTCCCTTTTTTTATAACATTTGCCATTTAATTATTTTTATTTTTTATCGCCACGAGAGAGATATGGATCCATGAGTTTGATTGATGTTTTTGGGAGGGACGGGATCGGATGGAGGGACAAGGGAGAGCACGAGGCTAGGTACACTCCCTCACAGACCCACCCACACAAGAACAGCAGACAAACAGAGCAACAATAGCAACAAAGGAGAGAGCGGATACCTCGGGCGGTTGGCTTGTTTGCAAGGCTGTCGAGAGAAGGAGCAACATCCATGTGTACATGCACCATTGTTACTGTTGTTGCTGTTGGTGGTTACGATGATCGGTTGTCCGTCTTGTTGCCGTCCTGTTCGTTCGTTCGTTCGCTTTGCTTGTCATTATTTGTGGTCCGTTGCCCGTCGTTGGTGGTGCTGCATATCGTATCACACCGTATCACAATCGCATGCAGTATGAGCCGTGTGCTCCTTTGTTCTTCTTGAACTTGTCCACATGTTGGGCGTCTTTTCCCTTCTTTTTTATCGGTCTCTCTATCGGTCTCGCTGCAGACCAAGGAAGAACGCCTGCACTAGTCTGCATGTCCTCAATCCTATCGACCGTTCTTTTTCATGCAGTGGCGCCATGCCTTGTCCTATTGTCTTTGTCCTGGTCCTTGTCTTTGAATCTGCCTCTGCCTTGTGCCTTGCTTTTTTTCTATTTTATTCTTTATTTTGAAGCTGGATTGGATCACGTATTCTGTGATGTGTACATTCATGACATACATGCATGCACTTGCCTGCCACGCTCTTGCTCCGACATCAACAAAAAAACGTGGTCGGGAAGTGTTCAATTATGTTCTTATGGACTTATACATTACTTTACAGTCGTATATCCTCACCTATCATGTGTGTCCTGGAAAATGGGCGGGCATGGTTTAATAGGCCCTCTGGCTCATGGCTCATGGCTAGTGGCTCATGGCTCATGGTGTCATCGCGGTTGATTTCGTATGTGCATCCAATATCAAATATTCAGTGTCCAATAGAGCTGAGCTGAGCTGAGCTGAGCTCAACTTTTTTTTTTTCTTCTTGGGAGAGAAAGGGGTCGCCATGTATACAGACGGTGCATATGATATGGCTCTCGTCTTGTTTGTAGTCTTTTGTTTGTTTGTTTCTTTTTTTATATGTACTTTTTTTTTTGTTCTCTCGCCCACCAACATTATTCCTGATCGGATTACAAAAAAAAAGGCAGATAAACTAACACTTAAAAAGAAGAGGGAAAAAAAGGACGGTGTGAATGAGGCATAGAAAATAACCGAGTCCAGTCAACGCAAATCGTCTATATTTACCTTACCTGCCATGCGATACGCTGACCTACGGTGCCTGACTAACCATTTTATCTTTTTTTTTTTTTTTCGGCTCGTGCTCTCGTTCTGCTACATGGCGCGATGACCTGAATCCCGCCCAACTCTCGGTGATATTTCGAACCAAAACCAAAAACTAAATTGTACCAGCCCGGAATGCTCCTCAAGCAAACCGAGAGATCCCTCAGTTCTTGCCTGCGCTGATCCCGCCTACGCTGTCGGTATCTTCGCCCAAGGGTCTCGCCTCCACCCCCACCGTCTCCAGCCCAGATCACTCCATGGAGAGTGATAGCGACAGTGACTCTGACGATGAAGATGACGAGGCCCATGAGGATCCCAGTCCATTGCTGTCCATGCCTGCAAACTACATGCGCGGCAGACGTACCTCTGTGAGCGCAGAGAGTATGGTTCCCAGCCATCAAAACTATGTCAAGACGGTGATTCCCAAAACTCCAGAGCAGCGCAAGCGCATCGAGCTCTCAATCGCCAGCAATTTTCTCTTCAAAAACTTGGACGAGGATCAGCACGAGGATGTCGTCAATGCAATGGCTGAGAAGCGATTCAGGAGCAGAGAGAGTGTGATCGAGCAAGGAGCAGTTGGCGACTACTTTTACGTAGTCGAGACTGGAACGCTGGATGTCTTTGTCGCCAAGAACGGGAACCCCTCCGAGAAGGTGTTTGAGTACGGTCCAGGAGGCAGCTTTGGAGAGTTGGCACTCATGTACAATGGCCCCCGTGCTGCGACGGTGACGACGACATCGGATGTGGTCCTCTGGGCGCTCGACAGAATCACGTTCAGACGCATTTTGATGGAGAACACATCTAGGAAACGTCGCATGTACGAAGCCTTCTTGGAGACCGTTCCGTTGCTTGTGTCCCTGGAGCCCTACGAGCGCCATAAAATCGCAGACGCTCTCGAGTCCGTCTACTTTGAGGACGGTCAGACGGTGGTCTGCCAGGGCGATCAGGGCGACAACTTTTTCATCATCGAGTCAGGAGAGGCAACCGTGACAAAGTACAGCGAGGAAGGCGAAGAATTTCCTATGCCTGGTCTGGGACCTGGTCAATATTTTGGAGGTACAGTCAAAAAAAAACGTCATGCATAACATTGTCGTAACACTGCATCTGGGTATGGTTTATGGTGTATGGTGCAACCGTATAACTAAGTGTCTAACCAATCTTAATCACCTTTTTACGTCCTCTTTCTGATCTTCGATCTGTTTAGAGCTGGCGCTGTTGAATGAAATGCCTCGTGCAGCGACAGTCAAAGCACAAGGCCGACTCAAGTGCGCGACTCTTGGCAAGCGTGCCTTTGTTAGGTTACTCGGCCCTGTGGTCGAGATCATCAAGCGTAACAGTGTCAACTACCAGACGATCGAGCAGCAGATCCAGCAGCACCAGCAGCAACTTGTCCCTGTTTCCTCTGCTGCGGCCTCCGCAAGCGCATCTCCAGCATCCACTTCTCCAGTACTAACACCGGCACCTGCACCACTCCTCCCTGCATCGGCCTCACCTCTTCATCCAACGCTGCAGTTGAGCAATATCTAAGAGTGCTCCAGATGCAAAGACGATGGAAGAATAGGGACGAGCACCTCATGGCTTATTAATGATGGATGGCACCAATTCACGCATTTACACTTAAAAAAAAAAAAAAAGTGAAAAAGTGAAAAAGAAAAAAAAAATCATGGCATTTTCAAGAACATCCAAACCCATTTATCACCAAAAAGAACGACTATCCAAGAAGATAAAAAGGGGGCCAAAGAAGGCCAGGAACGCATATATTTTCATACATCGAGATCGTTTTTATATTTTGTATCGTCATTAAAAAAAATAATTTGCATTTGAACAAGAGGACAGTAGATCGAGTGTTGCTTAGTATTGTTCGAGATGGACGTAGGACTTGATGTTATCCTGGGCAGGTTGTCTATTCTTCCACACGTCGATCTCATTCATAATACACGACGTCCATTGAATGATTCTCGCTCGTTGGATTCGTATTTCGCTTTGTTCTTTAGCTTCCTGAGTTCATGATTATTTGTTTTTATTATCCATTCCATGAAAGCACTACGTTTAGTGGTGGGCAACGTTCTTGTGGTGCTCTAGTATGATCGATTGCATCAAAGACAATAAGAAAAGTCATTAATATGGCATTCGAATTCACAAAGTCGCTTGCATCCTCTTTGCTTTTTTTGATTTCTTTCTTTCTTCTCGCGCGCAAATAAAGCGGCGAAAGGTCGAAGGTAATGGCAAAAAGCAACCAGTTTTCATCAGAATATTTCTACTATTTTTCCCAGTTAAATCAACATCGTGAAGTCTGATGTCCCTAACTATAGTATCATCATATGAACGACAGAGCAATGCACGCCGCAACCCTTGTTTTTTTTTAAAAAAAAAAAAAAATCGACCAATACTTACTCAAGTGGAACTGGTAGTCGATGGTGTAAGAGATAGCAAAGATGACAGCCATGGTCTGGAAGACGGGGGTCATATCAGAGTTCTTGCCGTCAAAGTGGCGGGCCTTATAGCCGGTAGAGCGGGTAGTAGGGGCGGAGCCGTTAGGAAGACCCTTGTAGAACCTGACGACCTTGGCCATCTGTTACAATCCCCAGCCACAAAAAGAACAGTTTTAGAAGGTCTGATAAATCCATCGTTCATGAATTCAGAGTCATTCAGTTGCTCGAGTTGGGGAAGAAGGGACCCAGTCGCTGTTATGTCAGATATTTTCTACTATTTTCCCGTTACGTTCAGCACTTGCTCTTAGCGAGCATGCAGTTGTCCCTAACAGTTGATCATCATGCATAATTCTTTGAAGCCTCCCCTCGGCCTTTTTGGAACTCCCTGTCCTCGATTGTCGATACAAGTCGAACAGTTCGAAAAATAAAATTAAAAAAGGGCATGGCAACTTACGCGAGCGGCATCCTTGGGGGAGCCAATAGCCTTGGTGGAGCCAATGGTGGGAGGGATGGCGGACTAGATATTCATAAAATAGAGGAAGAGAAAGAGAGAGAAAGAGAGACAGAAGGAGGTTAAAGGCATGTTAGGGGTGTTCTTCGGTGGTGTCACAGTACGGGGTATCTGTACCGGTCAAAATAGGATCTCGGTGCGGGTAATAGTACTTAATGACAAAAGACAGCAGGGTGAAAGACAAGGAAGAGATCCATAAAAGCGCACAGAGGTTATAGACATACGCGCGAAGTGGAGTAGGCGCGACGGGCAACGGTTCCGAAGTTCATGGCGACTGAGGGTGGGAGTGGAGAAAGGGAGAGATTTGGATGAGAAGGATGGATGTGATCGGAGCGACTATGTTGTTTGCTGTGAGAGTGGCTCGCTTCTCGCCTAAATGACGTCACCGAAGGAGCGTTGGACCCGCACCAGAGGACTATTTTTGATACCGCCGTCCCGCTTGTGAGGCATTCAGGCCTTGAATCTCGAGTGAAGTGTTTTTTGTGGTCGCCACAACAGATTTGAGGTACTCGAGTGTACATTTCCTTTTCTTTCTTGCCTCCGCTGCGGCGCCCATTTGCTTCATCAACTCCATTAATAAACCCTCATTATCCTCAAACTCTTGTCTAGTCGCCACTTCTCTGGCAACTCTTCCGAATTCCTGCTCTGCTGCCCTTTTCCGGTCGAGTTGCAAACGGAGTAATGGCGCTAATCCTGCCTCCAAATCTGGTCCGAAAAAATCCATATTCTGGACATGTTGCTCCTGAGCGACGGCAGGTTCAATGGCAGATTCAATCGCAGGCTCACCGGAATAGGATACCCTCACACTTTTATAGAGCCTCTGAACCAGGTACATGTGCTTGCAAGGGATCAGGTGAAGACAATGATCGGCACAACTGCATGACACAATGCTGGTAACATCGTTGTTGTGGCGGACAATGTATGAAACGTCAGCTCTAACAAAGGATTTGACGACAAACTGGAAAAAAGGATGGTAAAAAAGTAAGCATAAGCATGAAACCACAACCACCACGATATTTTTGACAGATTAAGCCAAGCTAGAACCTACTTTGTGCTGGATCAGTGCCTCAACCATAAGCAGGGCAACATTAAAATCCAGTCTCATTGCCTCTTTTTTCCTCCTAGCGTCGTATGTTAACAATGGCGGGTCAGCAAATCCCTCTGTAATCTGGTAAAGTCTCTTCTGGAAGTCAACGTCCACTGCTCCCTGCAACAGAAACACAAGATCATCCGGGCGCAGATTACGCTGACTTCCTAGATGGTGCCTCTTCAACGTCTTGTGCCAGCTTTCTACAAGGTTGTTGGTATCGATATGCTGGTAATTCTATATTGCAAAACAATAAGGATAGTGATTAACGGTTATGTGCAAGTTGGACGGGAGTCAGCCTTGCCTAACAACACTCAATTTAGCCTTTCTCACAGTACCTTTCTAAGGTACAATGCCCATTTCTCCACTCGTTCTGGGACCATCCACGTTTTCAGGTAGTTGATCATCTTCTTGCGTTTCGGGAACGCCTTTGTGAAATCATCCCACTTCTGCACTCGCTCTGCATCAGTTCTGGCATTCCGTATCTCTTTCAAAGGTAGTCGCATAGCATTACAGACGTCAACCTATGAGAATAGAAACAGAACGATGACAGTGTGTTAGGAGTATACTGCCACTCAACCCTTTTCCTTTCCTTATTGAATCGTTGCAAAACTGCACTTGCTCCATGGTATTCTTTTGCCTTTCGCTCCCATGCCTGTGCAACATGAAACGAGCAGTAATAGATATCCAGTGTCTTGAATGATTGTCGTAACGCCTCTGTTTCTGTCTGGGAGCAGTCTACCATGAATTTGGACGCGTTCAAGCCACAGTGGTCCCTTGACCCATTTCAGCCAGGTCCTAAGAGTATTACTAAGGAAAAAGTGTTAAGGGCACTGACAGTCAAGGAGCAACGAGAGTAATGTAATAGAGAGAGATGAATCTTTTGGTGAGTAGGGAAGCAGGGCGCAGAAACAAGAGACGACAGGACAACTAACATTGATTCAGAGTTGCAAACCATGAAGGCAATTGGTATGCCAATATTCGCTGCTCGATCTCGGACAAGGAGAGTGAAAAGGTATGCAGATGGGAACACTTTCTCGTTATCTGGATCAGGCAGCAATGATCTGACGGCCTTGTGCGTCGAATCCATGCAGACGATGCCATGGTGACTTGACATAACCTTGAAGGTGGTACATGAAGATAATAGAGCTTGGTCCTTAGTAGAAAGGCGCGGAAGAATTTCAACAAAGCATAAACTTACACTTCCAACTGGAACTCGGTGGACTAAGCAAAAAAGTAATTGTTTGTAATCCCGCACACGTTATCAACAAAATGGCCATTTCCACCCTCCTTCTCGATTTGCTCCATCCAGAGCTTCACGCTTGTAGTGGGGTTGATTGACTTACGAGACCCACTTGTCCTTGCGCGGTACACAGCAGGACGCACATCATTGTACTTCATGTAGTACAAAGGAGCAGCAGGGCCTTTAATTTTTCGGGATCTTTGCTACAATTCAGGCAAGAAGAGAGTTGTCAGTACTGAACGTTTGAACCCAAGAACAATGAAAAATATTGTAACAGAATGCAGCTGTGCCTCTTACATGCATAATTGACTTTTTGTTGGGACGCAGCAATGCCTTTATTGCTGCCCATTTCATACCGCTGCGAGCCTGCTTTGCGGTCCAAGTTCGTTCATTTCTGCCCAAAGGAATCCTCGATCTTGCTGAGCCAGAATCGTCATGAGAATGCCTCCATTTGTACGAGACATTCACTACCTCTTTACCGACTGGTTTTGTCATCCTGATCTCGACAGGACAGGCTGCACCAACAGAGTCGCGGGTGATAGTCAATTTTGTTGGTCTTTTGTGCCTTCTGCAACTGAAACGAAAGCTCCAATCATTCCGTTTTGGTGCGCCAACTGAGCCTCCATAACCCACAGGTCTAAAAGTCGGGAGTTGACTGTCAGGGCTACCCTTCAAGAGACCGTGATTACACCCTCCTTCAGTGCGATGCACAAATTGAATCGCGGTTCGCTCCCGATGCCAGAAGGTCTTAAAATCGTCAGCAGACAATGCCGCTTTCAAATTTCGTTCTCATGTGAAATCACGTTTGGCGTGTATAGTGTGGTGGGATCGAAGTCGCTAGGATCGAGTAAGATGTCCTTGACTTTGAGACCGGACATGAGAAGAGAATAAAGTGAGAGAGGAATGGAATAAAACAAGCTTGATTTTTTTAAATTGATTTCAGACGTCTTTGCTCTCTGGTGACTTGGACAAATTGACCATGACGCGTCCAGCATAAAAACCTTTTTTCAATTCTTCACTTCCTTCACTTCCTTCACTCTCCCATGCCTCCATGCCACCATTTGACTTCTCCCAGCTCAGCAGGTAAGGGAATGATTCCTAGCTTTCCTCACTTTTCAGCCCTAAACTAAACTCTGGGAATGTTTATGGTCAGGTCCAAATGACCGTTCTCTGTCCAAAGGACGCATTCAATTTATTTTATAGGACAAAGCCTTACATCAACCTTAACTCCTCTTTTTGCATTTCAAACTTCAATAGACTTTGGTGATTTCCCACTTTCAACCCTCTTTCTCTTTCAACTCTTCACTGCCCTGATTCAATTACTTCATTCCAGCAAACACACTACACAATCGACCACGACTCTTCCCTCGCACTACTCGACTTCACGGGATGGGTTTGAAGGGTTGGTTCCCCTTCATTTGCAAGAAGGGATACGAGCCCACAGTCATTCAGCAATCAGGAACAACAACAACCTCAACCACATCCACCAAGAGGATCGATTTGCTCTCGCGGTTCTCGGTCATTCGTACCGCCTATACACAAAACTCTGTAGAAAAGGCCCATGCGATCCTGGAAAAGGATATTGAGCAGTTCGGTTCCAAGGATACTGTTATTGTCTATGTGGATGGAGCCCAGGCGCAAGAGAAAGAACACACCGCACAGGCTCGACAGAAGACCCGAGAGAAGGCGGCAAGCCGTTGCAAAGAGGCCTTGGACTTTCTTCAAGACAGGATCAACCGCAATTTAAAAGTCCGGAAACGACACTTCACAGATGTGAAGACAAATATGGCATCAACATTCTACTGGTCCCTGCCCATCCGAGCGTCCTTTGTGGAGTATATGACCCAAGCGGGATGGAAGGTATAGACCTGTGAGACTGAGGCCGACGTCGCGATCGCTCGGGACTGCGAACCAGGCGACATTGTTGTTTCTGCAGATAGCGACATGATGGCCTACCCCAGTATCTCAACCTTATGGCGTCCTATCGCCAGGAACTTGATCTTGGTATACAATCTGAAGGACGTCCGTCGCACTCTCGACTTCTCAGAGGCCAACTCACAGCCCTTGCAGTTGTATCTGGCAACGATTACGGCAAGAGCATCTACTCGCTTGGTGCAGCTACCAATTACTCTGTTATCAAAGCCATCCGAGACAAAGGTATTTTATATTGGTGTGTGTGACAGAGTTAGACTTTGACCTTTAACTAACTAAATATTGTTTGCCACTCTTTTTAGACACCCTGGGTACAGTAGCCGAGTATCTGAACGATCCCAAGGTTGCATCCAAGAATGCTGCTGTCCGTAACAACGAGGAAAAGACATTTGAAGTGGCCATCAAAGTTTTCGTATATCTCAAGCAGACTCCTGTCACCAGCAGTCCCCCCTCTGTTGGAAGCCCAGCCTACGGCGATCTTCACAGACGGTTTTTGGATCTTTGTGCCCTGTATAGGCAACAAAAGGAAAACGGCCCTTCACAAACGAGGTAAATTGTTTTGGTCTTTTTTTTGAGCAATGGCTTTGCATTCACTCCTTCATTCATCTCATCTCTGCCTTATTTTTTTGATGTTTATAGTCCTCCCGAGGTGCCCATTATACGACTGCACCACTCTCATGCGGCGATCAGGTTCAAGACTGTGGAGTCGCCTGCTGTGCTGAAACGTGTCTCTGGTCACTTGGGATCATTGCCATCACAAGAGCTTCAGTCAGATGTGCAGGACCAGTCAACTGTCTCTCAACGTCGTCTCAGCAACTAGAGAGACACCCACCATTAGCGAGGGCAAATATCCCAAAAAATCGTCAAAGGTACTCCTTCAAGATGAGGACAGGATCAACCCAGCGCCCACCGCCAGACAAGATGAAGGTTTATAAGTTTAAACCATACAAGGAATGGACCGACTCTCCTGAAGACTCAACCCTGGACAGTAAAGCCAAACCCAAGGTCAAGCCCAAGCCCAAGTTCAAGATCAAGACCCTCGCTACCTCGACTGCAAATACCAGGAAGCTGGCAGTCATGCGCCACTTGGCTTACCATCATCCCACCTCGTCCCTTAAAGTTGGTACTCTGGCCGCGAACGTCAAGCGAGCAGTACCAAACAATGGTGTTCTCCACAAGAGGTCATACATTGCATCCGAGATCTGGTGCAGGAAGCAGCCCGAGTAAAGCGGAAAGGCCAGCAAGTGATCGGAAAGTTTGTCGACTACATCAACAAGCATGGACTAGGACCCATTGATCGTCAATTTATGGATCTGTTCTGTCCTCGAGTATCCATGAATGATGTCAAGGATGAGGAGAATGAAGAGACGGAGGAGGAGGAGGATGGGACAGCGAGGACGATTTGGACGACAAGCCAAAGGGTGGCAGAGGCTCTGCTCAGTCCTCTTTCCTGTTGAGTTTCCTGACATCCATATACTCTGGAAACCGCCCAAGAAATGCTGGTACTGGCTCGACAGTCAATGAATTTATTGATCGACCCATTCATCTCCAGCTGTACACACCACCACCACCGGCATCTGATGGCTGCAAGCACAAAGCAGTCTTTACACCATCGGAACTGGTAGCATCCGTCTCCACCCAACTCAGGGTCGAACTCAAGAAGATGTACAAGAACGGTTCCTGCGATCTGTACAAAAAGGTAAGGGTTGCAAACTGCTAGTCAGTTCAATATGCATCAAGCCAACAGCAAACAAAGGTAATTATTCTTACTTATTATTTTCTATCTCTTGGATTGTAGCTCATGGCAAGAAAGGAAAAGGGTCTCTTGGGTTCCGACGTTGATGTGGAGATTCAGGGGGAAGTATCTGCTGTTGAGAACTTCCTTGCCCTTAACAGAATCAGTCCAAACCCTCGAAGGATCATTCCCATAACAAGTTCAAGGCAACCGTTTGTGAGTTTTACGGAGCGTAACCTTGTTGGGTTCTTTTTCAGTCGTGGAGGGGTTCTGAGAGCTCAGGTTCAGGAACTGGTCGGTACCATCTGCACTTCTATTGTAGATGCCCAGGAGCATATAGGCAATATGGAACCTGGGATTCTCATCAAAAAAATTCCTGGCTGATATCGGTCTCAAGGGCCTGACCAGTCGCTAGCGGCGAAAAGCAGGGCATCGTGGGGCAATCGAGTTGCTAAACCTTGAGGAACTCGAGACCGATCTTCATATGTTGGACAGCAAGGACTTCCGACCGGAAACTTATCTCACCAAGAAGTATGTCCCAAGGGGACAGTGCGGACCGATGGCTTCCATCTACAGCTATTATGTTTTAAGCGCAGAGAGCTTCTGTCAGTCAAGTGGAAACGGCTTCCTCAAGATCGATTGCCACGACGATTGACTACGACACTCCATGGAACCGGCGACCACCTGACTGAAATTCGAAACGTCCTTGGAAGCAAGGAGGACATAGCACAACTTTGGCCAGATGTCGATCCCCGTGACATCAAGACACTCACCCTCGATGCCGGTCAGGCTTTTGTAGTAGGCGCCTACGCACATCTACCACAATCAAGCAAAGGCAAGGATCCAGTGCTTGGTGCTGTATCAACCTTTGAGGCACCGTCCACCATTGCGTCTCCTACAACACCAATGGCACCACCGCCAGTGCAGGACTCGACACAATCACCATCTTCAGCGACACACCACAACAAGACGCCTCATCATAATCTTGCCGTAAACCAAAAGGCGGTAATGCAGCCCACATTTCGATACCGGCGATGGCTCCAGGAAGCGAGTAAGATGGTTCCTGAGGGCCAACCACAGTCTATTGAGTAAATCGAGTCCCAACTTCCTCCTCTTCGAGGTCCAGAGGCTAGTGTAACCAACTATGTCGCAAGACTGGAACAAGTTGAGGACCAACTGATGGAGTTTTACAATGGGAACAACAATCGATTCAAGAAAAACACGTGGGACATGGAGCGTGCCAAACACATCGAATACCAGGCCATTGCCAACAGTTTACTCAGGATCGTTGGTAGGAGCATTGGCGAACGTTGCAAGAGTCCAGTATTGATTGGTGTGGGCCTGGGTGATTTCAGAAGCTCGAAGCGGCTATCATCTCTGCATGGGACGTTTTTGTCTTACTTCATCCCTCTGGTAGGCAAAGTGTTTATTTTTATCATCTATAACACCTTCAAAAAACCGACCGCAAATGAGTAACATTTTTTTCTTAATTTTATACATAGGCGCGCTCCCTCGGATACGTTGTTGTTGGTATTGAAGAGTACTATACTTCAAAAAAATGCCCGAACTGTGAGGAGTTTGTGGCCCAGGTGACCATACGCCAGCTCTTCTGCCCCCATTGTGGCAAGTATTATCACAGAGATGTTATGGCGGCGCAAAACATGTCCAATATCGTCCAAGGGCACCTTTTGGAGCAGAAAAGACCTCTCTACTTGCAGCCCAAAACAGCAGATGGAAGGTATCCCTGGATCGAACCATCGACATCCGATCAAGGGGCAGTTGATGGAACCAGCAAGTCCACTGGAAGCACGAGTGCTCGCAAGAAACGATCGTCTCCCGCAACCCCAACATCAAGGAAACACCCTACCAAGATGGCTAAAGAACTTTAATTTTTGTGTGTCAGGTCACACACACCCAAATGCCGATAATGGCAACGATTTTTACGATTTAGGTGACGTAATTGTAGATTTCATAGTGCTATAGTCAAGGAGTCACCGAAGGCGCGCCACTCAAATGCGGAACACACACAAATGGATAAATGCTAGACTAGGACGACTGGCGAGCAGCTATCTTACGGCGAGCAGCTATCTTACGGCGAGCAGCTATCTTACGGCGGGCTTCATGCTCACTCATAGAGGCTGGTCGCTTGGATCCCCCAGCTTGACCTTGCCCTTGCCCTTGCCTCGCTGCGCTACTGCTGCTGCTGCTGATGCTACTGTCCCCGACCTCTGTGTGCGGCCTTGCATCTTGCATTCAAGGGTAGTTCCCATCCTTATCCACCGGCTGAAGTTAGAGCGGTCGCTGTTGATGGAGTAAATGACTGCGAACGACATTACAAATGTTGTGTCCTGCCACAATATCGCAGTGCATGGTAGTACCATAATTTAAGCAGTGTAGCCTGCGGATCTCGACCTGTCCGACAAACTGCTCGCAGGTTAGACACTTCTTGGACGTGTAGTATTCATTCACTCTAACCACGATGTATCCAAGTGACCTGGCCTATGTGAGCGTTAATATAAAAAAAAGTATCAATAATATTAGTACAATATTCACAATACCCAAACATGATACAGATCTGCATACTTGCTTGGTGATGCGTTACCAAAGTAGGACTGAAAGACTCGTGCAATGAGGAAAGCCTGGCCTTTGTCGAGAACTTGCCTAGGCCGACTCCGATCATTAACCTTGTTAGTCTCATCCCTTTTCCTGCCGATGTTTCCTCCAACTGCCTTGAGAAGACTCTCTGTAATGAATCTGTATTCGGCATCCCGCGCTCTTCTTGCGTCCCACTTGTGCTTCTTGAACCGATTGTTGCCGTTGTAGAACTCCTGTAGTCGCTCTTCCACTTTCTCCAGCTCTACGACATGGTTCGTGAAGCTAATACCCTGGCCGCGCAGTGGTGATAGTTTAGTTTCAATGTTGCTGATGGATTCGATTCCATTGCCTAGCACGATATTCTTCTGCTCTTCCATCCATCTTCGATGCTTGAATGTAGGCTGATAGACGGCCTTTTGCTTGACTGCGAGATTACGAAAAGTCGCGGGGACCTGAGGCTGAGAGGCGTCTTCGGAGGGGCTGGCCATATCCGCGTCATCGCATTTTTCTCCAGTCACCGTCGTCGCGCTGCCGGGGTCATGGTCTTCGGGCAGCAGCAGGCTGGCACCCACGACACACGCTTGGCCCAGATCGATACTCAGAATCTTGATCTGATCGAGTGCGCAACCCCAAAGGTCGATAACATCCTGCTGAGTCTTCACAACGTTTCGGATCTTGATTAAGTAATAGTCCACTCCTCCGGTGGTGGAGATGATTCTTGGGCAAGACGTTCTCAGGAAGACCCCTGTATCGCATCGACTGCAGTTCCTTCATCTTAAAAGCTAGCACCTGCAGACGAAACCCGTCTGTCCGAATGGAGCCTTGATGGACATAGCTGCGTTCGGTGTAGTTCCTTGGATCAAAGTTGGCCTGCCAAAGGGATTGAATGTGCTCTCGCATCGCCGCCAAGTCCATCATAGAAGTTGAGTCCTTGAAACTCCTAGGCTCTTTGCGTGGTTCTGACTTGCCGACGTTCGAAAGTAGCTTTGTAATGATGGTGCCGGCAGGCCTTGACTGAAGCCACAATTGTAGATCTGGCTGGGATAACGGCGTGTTCGCGCTTGGGAAATCCCCGTATCAATTCTCGAAGATATGTCTGCAGAATTGTGTTCTTCCAGAACAAAATGCAGGGTTCTCTCTCGGAAAAAGGCATGAAAGGCCTTTCTGGTGCCGTGAGTGGAGCCGTCTTGCGGTAGCTCCGGCTAGAGTAGTTCAAGAGACGAAATTCTCAATCGCCGGAAGGCTCGGATCAACTTCGGTACGAGATCCTTCTGCTACTAGGCCCTTCGCCTTTTTGGCTTGAAACTATTATGAACATTATGAACATTATGAACATGCCGTCGACGTTAGTTTTGTAATCCTTTTTAGTGTCTTCAATGGTTCCCACATGTATAGTTATAAGCGTTAACTGTACATACTGCGCAAAAGCTTGTCGATCAGCCAAAGACCAATAGAAAGCTGATTTCAGATGCTTGCGGACGCCAAGGAGATGCTGCTTCCGGACTCGTAGGTTACTGTTCACGCGATTCTCGAGTTGAAGGAGCTGTATACTGGCTCGCGTGAGGTTTTTTTGTCGCGCAGCGTCTCGGCGCACCTGAGTGAATAAATTCTCCTGCGAAGGAGGACTATCTAGATAGAGGACAAGCTTGTCGGAAGGCCCATACTTCAGTATCTCCTGTTCGACAATAGGATGAGCAATGTCTATGGGCTGTGAGGAGTACGCGTTGCGGATGATGGTATAAAAAGATCCGAGGACGTCGACGCGTATTACTAAATTGTGATAAAACGAGACGGGGAGGTGGAGCAGTTGGGTGGAAGGATAGCGAAGGACGGGCTCGTGCCCTTTTTTTTTCAGAAAGGGCCACAGGCCTGCAATGCCCATGATAGCCTACGCAACGATGAAAATATGGAGCTTTTTTTTCGAACAACGACAGTGAAGGAGCGCGAGAGTATATGAACAGTGTAGAAGAGTTGTGTGAGGGACCTGGCCGCGCGAAAAAGCAGGAGTCCTTGGCACAGATCTTTTGATCTGCTTAAGTGATTAAGAAAGGTTTCGATATGTTGATTGTTTATATGCATGGCGGTTTACTTTCACGCTGTATGAATGTCCCTCCTGCCATTTCTGCACCTTGTTGAGCAGGGACTCTTGTGTGCGATCGTCAGCCCGTTGCGCTGTACCTGAACAGCAATTGGCCGATCATCGACAATCCTATGCAGATACACCCTTTCTTATCCTTGCTCTTGTTCATCAAACTTGCTGTTGCGCTTTTCCTTTTCGCCTCTACTCATTTTGCCCATCTTTATTCCACATAAATCCCCTACGTCTCAAAGATATTATACGTACAGATGGTATTGTTGACTTGGCTGTGCTTTCGTGTTTCTAAAATCCGCGGCAAAATGACTAGCTTTCCTAGCGTAAATGATTGATTACTTCGTATATCTTACTGCAGTTGGAGCAGGAAAAAGAGAACCTCCCTCCCGGGTTTCTGAAGCAGTATGATCATATTCGCAGAGGCATTTACCGAGCGCGTATGAAGAGTGCCAACGTGAGCTAGGAGCCATGTGGATGGAACTGGGTAATGTTGTCCATCACTCGGAAGACCGGAAAAGTAGAGAGTGCACATTGGAGTATATGCAGAGCGCAACGGCGGCTCTCAGAGTTGCAGTCCGGGAGGTAAAAGGAATTGATGAAGTGGGTGCGGGGTGCAGAAAACTTCGAAATACACGCAGCTGCACAATTTATTATTGAAAAATATCGCTGAAAGAAATTAAGGCTCTTTCGAAGACATCTATGATTGAGATCAGTGTTCGCGTCTGATAATGCTTTTTCTTCTCTCTCTCATCTTTCCTTGATCATCACCTCTACACCCAAAGCCCCATGTCTTGTAACTTTACATTCTCGTGACTCCGCGATGTGTATCGACGGCCTGTGGCCTTCTCTGAAAAAGACTACTGTGCGCTATGAACTCGCCTCAGTCCTTTTTACAACAGCCCAACGCGTCGAGTAGACACTTTAGGGTCCCTATTTCTTTACCATTCGTATGCCTCCATATCCCGCACGATGGAGGTTGCACACGCCATCATCGAGAGGGCAATAGAAAAGCTCGGGATCGCTGCCAACTCGGCTCTTTACTAGGGTGGTCCTTCCCCGCAAGAAAAGGAGTTTATCTATACCCGTATCCGTCGACAGACGATCCGCACAAGAACCTTGGCGCGGGCTCAAGGTGGCCTCAGTCATCTGGAGTATCGCGTGGAAAAGAAGCTACACGTGCGGAAACAGCACTTTCTTACCACGCAGAGAAACCTGGCAGAGACTTTCTATCGAACGCTGGAGGCCCGGCAGGCCTTTGCAAGGCATCTTTGGCAGGGGAGGTGGTCTGTGAAAGAATTTCAGACCGAGGTGGATTTCATAGTCGCTCAAGACAGCATGCCCGACGACATTGCCCTGCCGTGGGGATAGCGACATGCTCATTTACGCAAGGATTGTGATGTATATCACCATATTATCTTGCTTATTGAAAGTGCCCCATTTCTCTGAATCTGCCAGCACTCGGTGCCGATTCTTTATTAAGAGCATAGTGCTTCTGAGACTACCTCCTATATTTCTGGTTTCCTATACTAGATCCATTATTTAAAGGGCAAGGATCTCGACTGTGTGGCGACCGATCTCGAAAAACCAACTTGTCGTTTACGACGTTCCAGGCATCCTAGCAGCACTAAGGATCAATAGGACTCAGCTTACAGTCCTGATCGTGGTCTCCAAGAATGACTACAGTGCCAACGTTCACTCGCTGGGGCGCGCCACCAACTTCAGCATTATCAAGCATTTGGATGGCGATGGTAATGTTCACTGAGAGATCTTCAACCATTTGCGCTACTTGTGTGAGCTTGGTCTGATGTCAAGGTGGCGCATCAATGATACAGCAGTATCTATCTCACAGTCTGGTCGTTATTAAGAATGCAGTATCTGCAATGTCGTTTGCGAGCATTTGCTCCACCAATATCGACTTCTATATCTGCAGCCAATGGATGAGAACGGGATGTAACCGTGGAAGCAAGTTGTAAAGTCGTAGACAGAGGAAAACACCTGCACCAGCGTAGTTTCTGCCCCTGCAGGACAAGAAGGCCGCCGAAGGCCACAAGCGGGCAGCATCTGTGTCTTTAGAACAGAGGGGTCGGCCACCAGCTGGACCCTTAGCAGGCTGCTTCAACTTTACTTCTGTTTGTCAGCAAGCTCATTAAAATGATCAGTTACATAAAAGGAACTAAACGTCCAGCATCGAGAATGGAGTTCTGTATCTTTTTGGCGACGTAGTATTCTGTTCATGCGGGTGGGTAAACCAACAGGAACCATTTTTTTTCTTTTTTCCTATTCAGGGACCCATTGGGATATTATTCTGGAAACTATGCGTGCACCTTTTTTTTTTTTTTTCTTTCTCAGGAAGCATTGAGGAAGCATCGGTAGAGATCATGAATCCAGATTAGGCACAACGGGTTTCTCTATAAAGAAGCATCCTTGCCTTTTGTCCTACAGCATGCAAAGCAGCCGTGAACGATCCAGAACCTCGAGTGCACGAGGTGGAACCGGGATTTATTTTAGGCCGCACTTGCCGTCATACGATTCAAGACAAAAAAAAAGAAAACCTTACGAGTTGACTACAAGTATCACACGTTGCGGACACATCATCATTTTTTTTTCTTTCCGAATATGGTGGTCATCACCTATCTACACGCATATATTTTTTCTTTTGAGTTCTTTCCGTGAGATTTGTTCACGGTCTATCTAATAGGACACTACGGGGTATGCTGTTTTAAAAAGGGAAAGGGGGGGGGTATATATGTACAACTTGGAGGATCCAAGAGAAGAATAAAAGTAAAAGGCACGCGAAGCAAAAAAAAAAAGAGCAAGCAAAAGCGAAACGAGCAAAAAAAAAAAAAAAGAATGGGTATGCATAGCTAAGTGTGTATGGTACGTGAAGGTCATTAAAGTGAAGAAACCCCGGCGATTTGTGTACAATGGGAAGAATGAGAGAGAGAGAGGGGGAATGGCTGCTTTCATGGGCTACGTTTAAGCATCTTGGAGACGAGCTTGAAGTGATGTTTTGCCTTGTGTCGCCATGAGTTGTTATCGTGATCATGAAGGGACTTTTCAGACTGAGCGGAGCCGGTGCTCGACGCTCGCTTGGCTGCGATGCCCTCAACAAACAAAGGGTAGCTCGAGCACTTCATCAGATCCATGATGGACTCGCGTGCCTGCTCCAGGACCTGTGGGTGATAATTGCCCTCGGCCACCGACCTCAACAGTCGACAGCGGACTGCATCCGAGAGGTTGAGCTCATGAGGGCTGCTGGGCAGGACAAAGGTATCGAGGATAGCGCGCATCTTGCGTTGGAGATCTGAGAAAGCGCGTGCTTGCGACTGGTTCAAGTACTGGGCTGATTCTGCATGTAGGTTGAACATGGGGACAGACTGGTGAACGGACTGGTATAGGGATTGAGCGCAAAGCTGTTTAAAAATGAATATCATGAGTTAGTTAAGAGGGTCCGTTTAAGAGGCCATTTATTTCTTGTACGAATGTGTATGTGAAAGTGAGAAATGGTTACCTTGTACTGTCTGGAAGCAAGCCAGAAGGCAAGGTTCTCGTAGCAGAATTGAGACTGCAAGAAGGCGCCAAAGTTGTCGAGGGTGTACTGACCACGCCCCTGGTTGAGGAGGATCTGGTGGAGCGTGGGTCTGCTCAGGGGCGAATCGTCTTCGTCTGCAGAGTGGTGTGAGTTGAAGCTGGCGAAGGAGTGGCGCTGTCTATGTGTGGAGGGTGAGAAGTACTGGGACGAAGGCGAAGGCGGGCTGGTGGAGAGCGCAGACTGCTGGTGCATTGTGGGCCCCTGGATCGAGGGTTGTGCGAGAGAGACGGTCGTTGGCATGGGTGTGTGTGCGTCAGTCAATTGGGATATGAAAGGAAAGGCGACAGAAAAATGGGCTGTGGAGGAGTGAGGATATTGGAGCCGTTAGATGTAGGGAGGGGTGAAGTGTGCCAAAAGAGGGGAGGGGAAGGAAGGGTCTGAAATGGGAGTGCTGAAAGTGTGGAGGACGGGGGATGAACTTGCAGTATGGAGTGCGAGCGAGTGAAGATTGGCGAAACAAAAAGAGGGAGAAGAAAGAGGAGAGCGAGCAGGTCGATGGGGTGCGTATATATTTATACGATGCGTGCGAGAAGTGGGCTGCCTGACCCAAGGATGCGCTGTAGCTACAAGAAATGAATACCCGCTTAAGGTTTTTGAATACAGTACAAAACAGCAGAGGGGTCACTCACACAACAAACAAGCAAACAAACAAAGGATGCGGCGGACAAGGCTACTGTAAACCTGAAATGAAATGACCCGAACTGACTGAAATGAATGAATACTCCCCTCTCAAAAAACGTGCCTGGGATGTGACCGCAATGGTGTGTTTGCGCCATTCAATTGCACTCTGTACTCTATCTCTCCCCAGCGGATGGCAACCATATAGGGCCCCCATGCCCCAGCTCCCCCTCCTGGTCCCTGCGGTAGATTACCCTACAGGACGTAATTCTCAACTATCTCGCTCCAATATGAAAAACCAAGGTCACCATAATGTGCATATCCTGCGTACCAGATCAGTACTTTGATTCCTCCTGCCCCCTTCTCTCCCTCGTGGTACAGTCAGCACCTAGCCCCTTCAAAAACTGTCTCGTTAAACAGCAGATCCAACAACAACCATGTAATAAAAAAACGTAGTGATGACTAAGGAATGTCGTGTGGCGCGCAACGTGGCGGAAGAATGACTTTCTCACCTCAGCAGCCTGCATCCGGAAAGAATGATTATTTATTCGGCGACGGCTATGATGATGACGATGATGCCATCCCACTTCAGCGCCTGAACACGCTGTTGTCTCATTTCGTATATGGCTTCGCCTGCTTGCCTGCCTCGCCTGATGCATCTCTGGACCCTTTTAACTACAGATGCAACCGGTATTGGTTAACCCTGTCTTGCACTCCGGATCATACTCGATTTGTCTGACGAGCATTACAGACACCGCGGATCAAGCCAACAACTCGTGAGATCATGGTGATGTGGCCATGACTGAGTACCCCTGGAATCCCCTGGCCCCAGCTGAGAGCCCTGTTCTCTACCGCTGTTTATTATACACATATCGCCAACTCAGAAAACACCTTCACCAAGTCCCATGTTTTCCATGGGTACCGTACCCTGGTCAACTGGTATTTGTATCTCCCCTGGAGCAAGAAAGAGCGAGGGTGCGACATCTCCACCCCTTTTGGGAGTCATTGACCAAAGAATTTTCTTTCAGGTACCCCAATCAGGAGCGCCCCTGGCCCCTTGCGACCGCTCTCTTCTTCCCCTTCTCAAACAGTATTGACTCAGATCGAAAAAAAGTTTCTTTTTTCCTTGGCTGAGGTCACTGAAATCCAACCCACAGGAGCTCATTGTCTATGCCGTGCTTACCAGAGAAGACATGTATCCCCTATTTTTACCACGGAGGTTAAGGTGCTCCGCCATATTTTTTTTCTTTTCTTTGCTGCCATAAGGCCATAAGTGTGCAAAAAAGCCCGTCCTGGGTATGAAAAACACTGTCTGGAGATCGGCCGGGAGGACTAGATCCGGCTACCTTTCTTTTTTTTTTTGTTGCTTGACATACAGTAAAAAAGGCACCGTTAGCATTGCATTGCCGATTCATGTCCAGCAGATCGTAAGGGACCATACAACAGCTTAGGAGGATAAAAAAAATGCGCCCAATTTCTTCACTAGTTTCTTCCATGTATTCCTTGAAAAAGAGCAGATCAAGACCAAAAGATGCTGAGTTGCATGTCGGTGCATTTTCAAAAAAAAAAAAAAATGGACTGGAAGCAGCAAGGCTGCAGATGGTAGCATTCATTTTTGCGAGCAAACAAACAAACAAGCAAACAAACAAGCTGCCAAACGAATCGTCCGATGGGTACAGCCCCTCCATTTCTATCGTGCTTTGAAAAGAAATGAACAAAAAGAAACTATTTGTTAGGGGATTGAAAATCAAGGGCCCTTGCCTCCTTTCATCAGCGCACGTTTGTTCCCGCTTCTTTCTTTCCCTCGTTCATTTTTTCGCATCTGGAACAAACAGAAGGCTGCAGCTGCAGCTGCAGCTGTTTGTGGCCTTTACTGGTGAATGGCGCTCTGCAGTAGCGTAGAATGAAAACGAGGCTCAGCACGAACCAATTACCCTTGGTTTTTGACGGTATCTCTCCTTTGTCCCATTCAACGTCGTCCTATCTCTGCAGTACTGAAGCTGCATCTGCAAAAAAAGGCCCTCAGCGACAAAAATAGGGCTCGCGACCCTGCATCGTCAACATGCCACATCCTTGCATCACTTCTCACTTTCTTGAATTCTCTCTAGTCTCATCTGGCTCAATTTCTTTCAAAAGCGAGTTGCCTTGCATGACCCATAGATGGAAATATTAAAAAACAACGGCACTGTTGTCACTGGCAGCAACAGGAGAATTCTTTGTTCTCGGCTCTCATCGTATTTGTGTTTGTGTTCTGTGTGTATGTCTTTTTACAGTTTCTCCCCAACCCCATGACCCTCCACGTTATTAAGCAGCAAACTAATCTAAAATCGGCACGCTCTAGAAGGTAGAGGGTACGCCCACTTTCTCTGGACGGGGCCTTCTCGCAAGTCACAGGCACATTCGGGTACTCGCCAGAACCTTGTTGACGTTGAGTAGATACTGTGATGGTCTGCAGAGCAACTGGACGGTTGCTGGATTCGTATACAACAGACCTAGTCTGCCTGGCCTTCATCATCTTTTTATTTTTTTTCGAAATGCTCAGAGGGTCTGCGATCCAGATCTGGATACTCCTGTTGGCGATACATGCACTGCCTCCGTTTTATTTTTTTGTCACCCTAAAATGAGGTGATGTAATCTGAATCAGGGGCATGAGACTTCAAACCCAACCAGGAAGTCGGGAAACGACCCTGTGAGGAAGCTCGGCAAAGAAAACAGCCGCAGGCCCCTCCTCGCCCCCTCCTTCCCCTGGATACGCGTTTCATACACGTCAGGAAGGGAGCCCCCGCGTTTGACCTGCGCCGATGGACCCTTGTTTACGCTTGACATCATCTGACTCCGTCGTCAGCCCTACAACTCGCGATCGAGGGATTATTATGCACATTGTTGGTTGTGGAGAATCTCCACCACCGATTGGCAGACAGCTCTCGCCGGTCTTGAGAACATGCATGCACTCAAACAGATGACCCCCTAATGTAACCTTGGATGAACTATGGACACGGACTGCGGGTTGTCTCTTTCTCATAGTCTTTTTATTTTACTTTTCTCTGTTCATTTTGTGCAACCATGGATGATCCAAACAGCGCCAGATTTTCCTTCTTCCATCGACTTCATCAGAGAAAGCGCCATCATAAAGAAAAAAGTTGGTGAGAGCACAAGGAGAGCAAATAGACAGAGAGGAAGTGTGCATGCATGCATGGACAAAAAAGACGACTCTGCATCAACTCAAAAGAATGTCTGTAATTATTATTTTGTTGGTTATGAGCAGCTCTGCCTGCCCTCACTCATCCCCACACCTAAAATGAAAAAAAACCCCCCGGCTGTTCTGTGGGTAGAACGTAACTTTTAGTCTGCAGACTATCACAACAACAACAGTGTATTCCGCCATTGTCGCCAGCTATTTGTGTTCCATTGTGAAAAACTAGCCCGACTGCTCAACGTGGCAGAAGAATAAGAGGGTGGTATCGTGGCAAGCAACGTGCTGACAACATGGCATGCGTGCATGACGAACAGTCTCGGAAATATTTCGCAATGACATAAAAGAGAAAGACAGTTCCCAATTGAAGTTAGAGTTGCGGGTTAGGCTACTCAAGGTTTGGAATAGTCGCACGAATTGAGTTGGCAGTGAGCACTTTTCTTTTGTGGTGGTACCTTTCTGCGCCCGCTTAGGGTTAGTGTTTGGCAAAAACGATGTCGTGATTGGTGCAAGCCTACATCTCCACAACTTGCTTGACATCTTGATGCACTTGCCCTCTTGCGTTCCTGATAATCTCCCAGGGCAGACGCCTTTCTTGTCTCGCAAGCATATTCCTTAGACCAGGGACAGATCGCCCTCTCGGCTCGATCGCTCGTTTCTTGAGTGTTGGTTCAGAAATAACGTACAAATCGCCTAGCACAGTCTGAAATAAAAATGGGTGCAGGAAAGGAGGTATACCAGACTACCGTACTTTCAGTGTGCATCCATGCCAGGTGATTTGTAGACCCTGTTTATATACACTTGAGCGCGTGGAGTATCTTTTCTTTCCAAACTGTCAGCTCGTAGAATCACCCAAAGGTGCAGTGAAATACTTCATGACCACACCCCTTGTGCATGTATATGATTCGATTCTCACCACACACAACAGAAATATTAAGATAATCATTCCCGTGACGATTTGAATTCCAATTGCATTGCAAATGTAGTCTAGACATAGCGAAGAGACTCCAACGATGTTTAAACACTGTTCCGGTTCCAGCTCATATCTTGGGTGCGCTAACACTTTCAACGATCTGTCTTTGAAAAATAAAATGTAAGAGGCCAAGTACCCTACTTTCTTGCGTCAGACAAGGTTTCAGGCCGTTTTGCACATTTTTTAAAGTTTTGACAGAGTGGAGGATCGAGGAACTGGGAACCCGGGGATCCTGAGCATTGTATGTCTGTGGCCACTCAACCCCTTAAAAGCAAAAAAACTTTGGGAAAATGTGGCCTGGTAGGTGCACCATTGCAATATATAGACTATATGAGTACTTTTAGACATATAGTAGGCATACTACAGCCGAGAATGTTCTTTATTCTTTCGCATCTCTATAACAGTCGAAGGACGGACGCGAAGGTGATGCTCGTGAAAAGGCTTAATTCCGAGCCTAGCCTTCATACCGACCAAACCAGGATGATCCTTCGGTATCTGTTTCTGCTTTTCCTTCAGCTCTGTAACCATGTCCACACACGAGCTCGATCCACAAGTTCCCTCGTGCTTCTCCTGACATGATGGACAGGAGATCATCAGCAGGTTGCACGTCATGTTAGAACAATTGCAGTACGAATCGCAAGGTGTCCCGCAGGTATGACACTTGGCAAGAACATCATCCGTGATGGGTTCGCCTAGGCGCTTGTCGAACGTAAAATTTTTGCCTTTATAGATCGATTTGACCTGCTCTCCATCTGTCGCCGCCGTATCATCGGCTGTTGCTGTAGCGTTAAGTTGCTCCTGAATATAGCGACCATACGCAGTGACACCTCCCTGTAACATTTTGACCGATTTGAAACCGTTCGATTTGAGTAGGGCTCCTGATCGAGTGCAACGGATGCCTCCTGTGCAGTACATGTAAATGTCCTGATCTTCCTTCCCTTTGCAGATCTCAAGCATGGCGTCCACGTTCTCCCGGAACGTAGTTACATCCGGCCGGATCGAGTGTTCGAAATGCCCGATCGCGCTATAACGAAGGAGTTGGGCAGACGGTCAGATACATTCCACATTCTTATTTTCTCAGTTGTAAATGAGCTCGATCAGCAGGAATAGTGAAAATAGATATACCTTTCGTAATGATTCCTCATGTCAATAAGGATAGGAGCTTTCTCCAGCGACGACAGCTCCTTGTGCCACTCTTCTGGTGTAAGATACATGGGCTCGTTGTACAGATCGAATGTGTTATTGTCAATGCCATCGGAAACCAGCTATGAAAAAAAAAAAATTTCAGGCAAAGTGTATTGTGAGATGCCTTTCACGCTTCATGCTATTCGACGGATGAAAACAACAATTACTTCATACCTGTTTCTTGACTCTGACGTGCAGTTTCTTAAACGCCTTGCCTTCAGACATGGCGGGGTTGAACCGAATCTTGTCAAAGATGGGCCAGTGTGTTGCATAATACTCCTTAAACTGCTCGACCTGGTCCTTGGGACAGCTGATCTGGGCATTGATACCCTCCGCAGACACATAGATACGACCGACGACATCCATTACTCTCAAGTCGGTCAAGAAGTAATACTGGATCTTGACAAGGTCGTTTTCACTGATCGGTCGAAATTGGTAGAAGGACAGGGTGATGTAGTCCTTGGCGGGCGGGTGTGGGGTCCGTTGGATATGGTCCCTCATTAGACGGAGGGTCACTTTAGCCAGGCCCTCTACCGGAGGCATCTCTACTCGAATTTTTCCATCTGACAGCACCATACTGTGTGGACCGCTTGGTGTCTTCCCTGTAGTCGTCTCATATGTGTTGTGTGCACTAAAGGTGCTGGGCGCAGACGAGAACGGCCTGCAGCCATTGAAAAAGGGGATTGAGGAACGAAGCAGGGGAAAATGTTTTCCACTTGAGACGAAGCAGAGTGCAAGAGGGGTAATGGATTGCTTGGCTTGGCTCCCGGTCGTCTTCAAGAAGAGCTTGGAGGCGGTGCTGAGCACCCGACGATGAGTGATGGAGATCATTGCTGGACCCTCGGGGCATTCAGGCACCGGTTTCTCTTAAGGCCATTGGGTCACGTGTAGTACTCTAAGAGTGCTAGCCATGGCGTTTCGGTCCATTACCCATCTGTCCACTCCACGACCTCACTCCACCTTTTTCCTCCACCTTTGGCTTTGGACATCTTCTCGGTGTGCTTCTCCACTCCCATTTCACATAGACATTCGACTTTGGTACTTTTATTGCGCCGCATTGCAGCAAGTTTGAACGTTACCCCGTCACCACTACGCGCACCAGAGTGAGGACAACCACGCTCCCTCCACCAGCTCCAGCAACTATTCCTTTCGCTCTTAACCTGACCGTATTCCGAACACGCAAACGACGAGGCAGGACAGAAAGACAACGGTAAAACCGACTAGCCTTCAAGTGACCTTTTTGCGACTGAATAACCGTGCCTGACCACACAAGGCAGCGCGTAGAATGTGGTTTGCTAACTCTTCCTATCGTTCATCGGCCTTGGATATAGGAGATGGACGATGATCAAAAGCTTGAGGATGTCCGAAAGCGACTCCAAAAGGAGAAGGAGATCAAAGCCGCGACCATGAAACTGCGAGGAATTCAGCAGAGCGAGTCTGCCAAGGCCGCATGCGACGCTACCTTGGAGGAATCCCAGCAGCGTATCAACTACTTTCAGAACGAATTCGACAAGCTGCAGTTGAAGAAGCAGGAGAGCACGCCTAGGGCGCATCGGACCCAGATCACAATCACCCTCCCGAGCCTGGAGAGTGCGCCACTATCATATTCTGAAAATCGGATGGCAGCAAGCAGGACACATTCTACCTCCAACGCACATTATCCGGATGACTTTATATCTCACAGACCCCTGTCAACAGTCGGTAAAGCAGACGTTATCTTCTATTCATCCGATTTACCAAAGCGATGTCGTTGGGGACATGAAAATGACTCTACCATTGGCACTTCATCGTGAGGCGTAGAATGGGCTGAGCGGTCATTTTAGAGACCGAACGCGCTAAAATTGCCAAAGAGCTGATGTGTGTACAGCCGCCCATTTACAAATAATGCTCACATCACATCTTTTGCACACCCCTTTGCTGTGACCGAGTAGATCTTCTTAAGGCCCCGACTCCCATCACAGCCAAAAAGGTGACATATAAGCTACGCGAGCTGGCCTACAAACTTGACATCGAAAAGAAGGTCAAAATTGCCTCCGAAAGGCTGGAGCAACTGGGCATGTCTGCCAGGGATGGCAATGCCGAGAGCAGCGAGAGGGTTGTCCTGCTGAAGCGAGCTCTTCAAAAGTACCAGGGTCTGTACATTCCAGGTCAAGGTAAATATCATGTTCTGGTCAACTTGATCACTCTTATAAGGAAACGTTGCCATGTCAGTAACTGAACCCTTGGTAATTTCTTGCGGATAGATGATGACATTACGACCACTCCAGGCACGGCGCTGAGACGGCCGATGACAGGAACCCTTTATGTCCGAATAGCTTCCGCCAGAAACCTCAATAATGCACCCACACGTAACTCCAGGCCATCGGAATCGACAGCCTTCATCAAAATCGATGGCATGCCCCGTGCGAAAACAAGGCCGGCGCGGAACGGCCCGAGTGGTATACGATGGAATGAGGATTTTGAGGTGCCAGTTACAAAAGCAAGTGAGATTGAAATTGCCATCTTTGACAGGCCGGACCAAGTCCCAGTGCCTATCGGTCTATTTTGGCTTAAAATCTCGGATCTAGTCGAGGAGCTTCGTAGGAAGAAGGTTGAGGCGGACAATGATGCGGCCTGGGTAGCAGCCAATGTGCAGGAGATGGGTGGTAAAGCCCCGATCATCAGGCCGGGGACGGGCCCCTTGGGCGATAATCCGATTAATGGCGTTGAGGGAATCGAGTCGTGGTGGGATTTAGAACCCATCGGCCAGATCAGCTTGAAATTCAACTTTGGTGTGTTTAACCTACGTTTCATCTGCGTTATTCCTGTTTTTCTGCAACCCTTTGCCGGATCGATGAGACTGACTTTGTCTCTTTCAATAGTGAAAGATGTTGCTGTCAGAAAGCGCCCATCCAAACTGGGGCGCCAAGGAGCTGTTCGCAAGCGCAAGGACGAGATCAAAGAGATCCAAGGACACAAGTTTGTGTCCCAAAAATTCTTCCAGATTATGTGCTGCGCCCTGTGTGCAGAGCTATTCACTGGAAAGGGCGCGCAATGCGAAGGTAACAGCGACCGTCCTTCTTTCTCGATGATACCTGGCGGCGAACGTTACGTCGACTTTCTAACTTACTTATCTCAACATTTCTTTTGATTGCTGGTCTACATAGACTGCAAGTTTACTTGCCATCAAAAGTGCGCTGAAAAAGTATTTATCAAGTGTATCGCATCAAAGACAGTTGAGGACCCGGACGAGGCCAAACTGAACCACCGCATTCCCCATCGTTTCGAGACCTTTACGAATTTGTCGCCGACATGGTGTTCTCACTGCGGTCATATGCTTGCCTTTGGCCGTCGTCATAAGAAGTGCTCAGGTAATGGTTGCGGATCGTGTGTCTAGAAGCAGTAAAATACGCCTTCGACTGATCACCAGATTCTGGATTATTAACACGACTCGCCGTTGTTAATTTTCACAGAATGTCCCGTGGTAGCCCATGAAGGATGCAGCGATCTCGTCCCTAACCATTGCGGTATGCCCGCCGAGACGGCTAATAAGTTAATGGAGGAGATTAGACGTCGGAACCAGAGTGGACGCCTGGCTCAATCGCCCCGCAAACTTTCTAACCCACCATCATACGAACCCCTTCCTGCGGAAGCGAAGGCCACACCGTCGAGACCTGTCCCACCAATTCCTCAGACGGAAAGGCTTCCTAATTATCAAAAAGAACGACCTCCACTTCCTTTCAGACCAGAAAGCCGTCCGGAGCACAATGTATCTCCATCGGTCGACTCTAATCAACTCAGACTTCAGCAACAAATGCAGAAACTTCAGCTGCAACAGCAGCAGCAGCACGAATACGATCAGCAGCAACAGCGCAAATTGGAGCAACAGCGTCTGTATGAGCAGAAACAGCAGCAGCTTTATCTTCAACAACAGCAGCTTCAGCAACAACAGCAACAACAACAGATACAACAGCAACAGTTCCAGCAGCAGCAGCTTCAAATACAACAGCAGCTCAAACAGCAGCAGCTACTCGAGGAGGAGCGGTCTCGCCGGCTCGCTCAAGACGCTCACGGAGGAATGGAGGACAAGTTCCGTAACGAGCAGGCGCGACTGGAGCAGCTTCGTCTGGAGCAAGAAAAGAAACAGCAGCGGACGCCACCTATCTCTTCGTCGGTTGAACAGCGACCGCTGGTGATGCCCACGGTCCCCATGCCTACGCTAAAGATTGTCAATAAGCAACCGCCAAAGCCTACGCGCAAATACGGTCTAAACGACTTTCACTTTCTAGCTGTGCTCGGCAAGGGAAACTTTGGAAAGGTTATGCTATCAGAGGATAAGAAGATGGGCGAGCTCTTTGCCATTAAGGTGCTCAAGAAGGAATCTATTGTCAAGCAGGATGAGATTGAAAGGTACTTGTCACTGTTTTTATTGTCTGCTGATACGAAACTTCAGCATCTTCAGTATGAGAGGACCCTACTCACCATGACCATGTTATTTTTTATTTTCTAGCGCTCGCTCCGAAAAGAGAATATACCAGGTTGCCAACAAGGAACGCCATCCATTCCTGACAACTCTGCACTGTTGTTTTCAAACCGATACACGACTTTATTTTGTGATGGAATATGTCCGTGGAGGCGATCTGATGATGCACATTCAAAAGGACAAGAGATTTGGAGACCACCGCGCCAAGTTTTATGGATGTGAGGTCCTCCTGGCGCTTCAGTACTTTCACCAGAATAACATTGTGTATCGGTATGTCAATACCCTTTTGTCAGCTCGATATGTGTTGCGCCTCAAATACGCCTAAGGAATTTCATTGTTCTAATGCTTGAATAATATTATTCTTTAACGACTCGGCTTTATAGTGATTTGAAGCTGGACAATATCCTGTTGACACTTGACGGCCATGTCAAGATCGCTGACTACGGTCTGTGCAAGGAGAATATGCCCTATGGCGTCACCACTCGAACAATTTGCGGCACCCCTGAATTTATGGCGCCGGAAATCCTGGAAGAGCAGCCTTACGATCGCGCAGTGGACTGGTGGGCATTCGGAGTGTTGATGTACGAGATGTTGCTGGGTCGTGCGCCGTTCTCTGGTGAAGAGGAGGACGATATTTATGACTCGATTCTAGAGGACGAACCCCTTTATCCTCATGGCTTTGGACGCCATGAACAGGCACTGTTGCAGTCTCTGCTGGTCAAGGTGCCAAGTCTTCGCTTGGGCGCAGGACCAACGGATGCGGAGGAGATCAAGGCGCATGCGTACTTTAGCAACGTGAACTTTGATGATGTTTACCATAAGCGGATCCGGCCACCGTTCTTGCCAAAGGTGTCGTCGGCGACGGATGTATCGAACTTTGATTCTGAGTTCACAAGTGAGGCGCCCGGGGAGACGCCGACGGACTATCGCCTGAACAATGTGGAGCAGGATCTCTTCAAGGGCTTTTCGTACGTCTCGCCGTGGGGTCAGCCATAGACTTCAATAAAAAAAAAATGCTTCGCCCTATCATTCCTATCATGTGATTGGTGTTTACTACCTTTTTTTTTTTTTTGGCACTTTGACCTCCGTTTGCGATTCAGTTTCGGCATCGTCGGTGGACACCTTTCGCGATCAGTTTTTTTCTTCTTTCGCATACCTCAGTGACGTTATGGCAAACAAAGGTGGGAGAAACTTCAACTGCATATTATATTATAGAACGATTCAAACAAATCCAGCTGACTGATAACTTATTGGTGTTCGAATAACAGTTCGTGCTCAAAAGGCGGCTACAACCAAGGGCAAGAAAGTGGTCGCGGGGGGGGTCAAGGCGAACCCTAAACAGCAATTCTCGAAGACGAGCGCGATGAAGAGTAATGGCCAATCCCCCAAGAAGAGCAAGAAGAAGAAAATGACCAAGTCCAGCAACAACAAGAAGCGCCCTCGGGATCAGGACACAGAAGTTGGGGAGGAAGACGATTTTGAGAGACGAGAAGTTGAGAAGAGGAAGAAGCGTGCAAAGATGGTGGAGGCGAGCAAGACGGCCGAGACTCAGCTCGAGGTGTTTGTGGAGGCGCATGATGTGATTCTCGTGGTTCTGGATGCGAGGGATCCTCAGCGGTGCAGGTCCAGGTCTCTGGAACATTTGGTCCGCCAACAGAGCGGGAGCGGGAAAAGGATTGTCTTTGTGCTCAATAAGATTGGTAAGAACGAACGAACGCATGAACGAACGACGAGGAGAGATTGGGATAAGTGGAGGCGATCCAGGGGTTTCTGGTGCTAACTCGTTTACGGCATTTCTCTTTTTTTTTTTTTTTTGCGTGTGTTTGTCCTTCCAAGACTTGGTACCGCGCCGCAATGCTGAGAGTTGGATCAGAGCCCTTTCACAAGAATACCCCACAGTACCCTCCATCGCCACGAACACCAGTACTTCCAAAGCTACCGGCGCTGAAGAGCTCGTCAAGATACTGAATCACTATGCCACGAATGCCAAGCGCTGCTCGACTATCACCGTCGGTATCACCGGTTTTGCCAGCGTCGGCCGCTCCACACTCCTCAGATCTCTTCAGCACTGCTCCCAGAACTTCTCCAGCTCCAGCAGTAGCAGCAGCAGCAAATCCTCCACTACTGCCATCAAGTTCACACAAACACCTGGTTTGATCGTTAGCAGGACTAGCGGTCGGGGACCGATTGACATGCTCCTCCGGAGCAAGATCCTCCCAGAAGAAGATCTCGTCTCGACCACGGGCGCGTTAGTCATGCGTTGTCCGAAACAACCACTGATGCTCAAATATATGCTGCCATCGTACGATGATGGGGAAGAGTTTTTGGGCTTTTTGGCGAGGCAGCAGGGTAAGGTGCAAAAGGGAGGTGTTCCTGATACGGCGTACGCGGCGCGTGTATTTTTGAGGGAGTTGAGTAATCCGGATGGTGGGATGGGATTTTGCACTACCGCGACGACAAAGGGTCCTGGTGCCAACGCTGAAGAAGTGACAGAGTGGATGAAGGAGTTTGGAACAAGTGCGAAGGAGAATGTTAGGAGGGTGGAACAGCTCTTGGGGGCTGATCAGCGATTGGTCTCCCTTGCTTTGGCTCCATATGACTTTGACGAGGACCAGAAGGAGGAAGACGAAGGAGAGAAAGACGAGGAGCATGAGGAAGAGGATTAAAAATAGGCATGGTTTCTCAAGCCTAGATAACTAGAGGAGGTAAATAAAAGGACAATCTACTGGACTGTCAGTCTTATTTGACAACCCATCCAGAAATCCGTGTAAAATACTTGGCATTTGTCGAAGACCAAGGGAATCTGAGCGTAAACAATAGACCCCTCGTAGAGCAGGCGTCGTGTGAACACAGGAAAGGTGTTACTTAGCCAAGTAGCTTATTTTCAAAAAAATAAAAAAAAATCATGCATTCTACGTGTGAAGCCCCATAGCAGCTGGAAAAGCTAAAATATTCCCAGTCCGGGGATCGAACCCGGGCCTTGTCGGTGAGAGCGACAAATCCTGACCACTGGACCAACTAGGAATTTACTCCGATGATGAACGTTGCATTAAAATTATTTTATTTCAATTATATTCTCCACGTGATATTGCCATAGGCGGTAAATATTCTGTTACGCGGTCCTGCATCAGAGAGCGATACCAGATCTTGCCGACGTGGAGTGGCGGTCCACCCTTGCCCATGTCCACGACAAGCGCTCTGTGCACACGTTCTTCAGCAGTGCTGCTGATACGTCCCAGAGGACACATCATATTAAGAAGCTGCATGGTATGCTGCCTACCCTGAATACCATGAAGGCTCGCCACCCGAGTGTAACAGGATAACCCCGCTTATAGCCCCGACTCCGAAAGGACTGGGGCCCCGGCTATAGACAACCGACCGGGCCGGAACCGGACCGTAGACATAGATATATAGACCAGCTAGTTGCCATCTTAATACAGCACGCATTCCAACCCTTTCCATCCTTACCCCTGCCCTCGACTGCCTAGAGCTATTACATGGTAGCAAAGGTTCTTCGATCCCCTGCACCTCTGTCCCTGAACCACGATCCCCCTGTACCACGAAACTCTGCTAAATTTTTACCCTGATCCACCAATTAAATTAAACCTTGGCCGACCAACTGTCATCCCTTTTTTCCTCCCTAACCATGAATGAATCCACCCCTGCCCCCGCCCCTGCCCCCGTCCAGGTCCTGTTACCCTCCTACAGGTACCCGTCTCCCACTGCCTTCAACGGAGTGCGGGATGGCTTCGCTTGCGAAGCATGGCTTACCACTGTCCGCCGTTTTTTCATTGGTGCTCGCATCAGCGAAGACTCGCGCACGGTCACAGCTGTTGCGTACCTCGGCCCCACTGGCCTCCTCTGGTGGGACGGCTTGCAAGCGCCGGACACGACACCCTGGTTCCAGTTCGAGGAGCTTTTTCGAGCGGAGTTCCGCCCCGCTGGATTTTATGATCATGTCCGAACCCTCCTCTTCGGAATCAAAATGTCTAGCACTGTTGCTGACTATGTCAGTCGCACTCGTCGCTACCTGGCCATTTTGTGCACGAACGAGACCCACCCTGAGGCTCGTCTTATGCTCGAGGAC